AAAGCTCTCACTGAAATGTATTTACTGTGTAAATGCTTGATTGTCTGTTGTTCACAGTGAGCTAGCTACATTTAGCTACATTTAGCTATCGATAGCAGCTAAGCTAACGTCCTCCCTGTGCTACTGTGCTTTATCTCGTTTATCTGCAGTATTCACGTGTGTATTTGTTTGAGAATCCCTTCCCATAAGTGAGGAGATTACCAACGAGCAATGAGTGACCGGAGTACTTCACATTCTCCTCATCTGGACCTGGTCTGGACCTGGTCTCAGACGTACTTTGGACTTTGTAAACTTGGTTTTTAATAAAGCTGTGACTGTATCAAGACTTTTCATTCATTCATTTGTCTGTACACTGCAGAAAAGGGTTCAAAAGTTATGATTTCTACCATATACTTACGTACTTTTACTACATACATTATATTTGTCAGTAAATCCGTATAACATTGGTAAATTATGAACAAGGACGAAGATGGAGATGGAGAGCAGAGCCCCCTGGAGGTAATAGTCAGTACTACAGGGGGTAAGAGGAGCCCCCTGGAGGTAATAGTCAGTACTACAGGGGGTAAGAGGAGCCCCCTGGAGGTAATAGTCAGTACTACAGGGGGTAAGAGGAGCCCCCTGGAGGTAATAGTCAGTACTACAGGGGGTAAGCAGAGCCCCCTGGAGGTAATAGTCAGTACTACAGGGGGTAAGAGGAGCCCCCTGGAGGTAATAGCCAGTACTACAGGGGGTAAGAGGAGCCCCCTGGAGGTAATAGTCAGTACTACAGAGGGTAAGAGGAGCCCCCTGGAGGTAATAGTCAGTACTACAGGGGGTAAGAGGAGCCCCCTGGAGGTAATAGTCAGTACTACAGGGGGTAAGAGGAGCCCCCTGGAGGTAATAGTCAGTACTACAGGGGGTAAGCAGAGCCCCCTGGGGGTAATAGTCAGTACTATAGGGGGTAAGCAGAGCCCCCTGGAGGTAGTAGTCAGTACTACAGGGGGTAAGAGGAGCCCCCTGGAGGTAATAGTCAGTACTACAGGGGGTAAGAGGAGCCCCCTGGAGGTAATAGTCAGTACTACAGGGGGTAAGCAGAGCCCCCTGGAGGTAATAGCCAGTACTACAGAGGGTAAGAGGAGCCCCCTGGAGGTAATAGTCAGTACTACAGGGGGTAAGAGGAGCCCCCTGGAGGTAATAGCCAGTACTACAGGGGGTAAGAGGAGCCCCCTGGAGGTAATAGTCAGTACTACAGGGGGTAAGAGGAGCCCCCTGGAGGTAATAGTCAGTACTACAGGGGGTAAGAGGAGCCCCCTGGAGGTAATAGTCAGTACTATAGGGGGTAAGCAGAGCCCCCTGGAGGTAGTAGTCAGTACTACAGGGGGTAAGAGGAGTCCCCTGGAGGTAATAGTCAGTACTACAGGGGTAAGCAGAGCCCCCTGGAGGTAATAGTCAGTACTACAGGGGGTAAGAGGAGCCCCCTGGAGGTAATAGTCAGTACTACAGGGGGTAAGCAGAGCCCCCTGGAGGTAATAGTCAGTACTACAGGGGGTAAGCAGAGCCCCCTGGAGGTAATAGTCAGTACTACAGGGGTAAGCAGAGCCCCCTGGAGGTAATAGTCAGTACTACAGGGGGTAAGAGGAGCCCCCTGGAGGTAATAGCCAGTACTACAGGGGGTAAGAGGAGCCCCTTGGAGGTAATAGTCAGTACTACAGGGGGTAAGCAGAGCCCCCTGGAGGTAATAGTCAGTACTATAGGGGGTAAGCAGAGCCCCCTGGAGGTAGTAGTCAGTACTACAGGGGGTAAGAGGAGCCCCCTGGAGGTAATAGTCAGTACTACAGGGGGTAAGAGGAGCCCCCTGGAGGTAATAGTCAGTACTACAGGGGGTAAGAGGAGCCCCCTGGAGGTAATAGTCAGTACTACAGGGGGTAAGCAGAGCCCCCTGGAGGTAATAGTCAGTACTACAGGGGGTAAGAGGAGCCCCCTGGAGGTAATAGCCAGTACTACAGGGGGTAAGAGGAGCCCCCTGGAGGTAATAGTCAGTACTACAGAGGGTAAGAGGAGCCCCCTGGAGGTAATAGTCAGTACTACAGGGGGTAAGAGGAGCCCCCTGGAGGTAATAGTCAGTACTACAGGGGGTAAGAGGAGCCCCCTGGAGGTAATAGTCAGTACTACAGGGGGTAAGCAGAGCCCCCTGGAGGTAATAGTCAGTACTATAGGGGGTAAGCAGAGCCCCCTGGAGGTAGTAGTCAGTACTACAGGGGGTAAGAGGAGCCCCCTGGAGGTAATAGTCAGTACTACAGGGGGTAAGAGGAGCCCCCTGGAGGTAATAGTCAGTACTACAGGGGGTAAGCAGAGCCCCCTGGAGGTAATAGCCAGTACTACAGAGGGTAAGAGGAGCCCCCTGGAGGTAATAGTCAGTACTACAGGGGGTAAGAGGAGCCCCCTGGAGGTAATAGCCAGTACTACAGGGGGTAAGAGGAGCCCCCTGGAGGTAATAGTCAGTACTACAGGGGGTAAGAGGAGCCCCCTGGAGGTAATAGTCAGTACTACAGGGGGTAAGAGGAGCCCCCTGGAGGTAATAGTCAGTACTATAGGGGGTAAGCAGAGCCCCCTGGAGGTAGTAGTCAGTACTACAGGGGGTAAGAGGAGTCCCCTGGAGGTAATAGTCAGTACTACAGGGGTAAGCAGAGCCCCCTGGAGGTAATAGTCAGTACTACAGGGGGTAAGAGGAGCCCCCTGGAGGTAATAGTCAGTACTACAGGGGGTAAGCAGAGCCCCCTGGAGGTAATAGTCAGTACTACAGGGGGTAAGCAGAGCCCCCTGGAGGTAATAGTCAGTACTACAGGGGTAAGCAGAGCCCCCTGGAGGTAATAGTCAGTACTACAGGGGGTAAGAGGAGCCCCCTGGAGGTAATAGCCAGTACTACAGGGGGTAAGAGGAGCCCCTTGGAGGTAATAGTCAGTACTACAGGGGGTAAGCAGAGCCCCCTGGAGGTAATAGTCAGTACTATAGGGGGTAAGCAGAGCCCCCTGGAGGTAGTAGTCAGTACTACAGGGGGTAAGAGGAGCCCCCTGGAGGTAATAGTCAGTACTACAGGGGGTAAGAGGAGCCCCCTGGAGGTAATAGTCAGTACTACAGGGGGTAAGCAGAGCCCCCTGGAGGTAATAGCCAGTACTACAGAGGGTAAGAGGAGCCCCCTGGAGGTAATAGTCAGTACTACAGGGGGTAAGAGGAGCCCCCTGGAGGTAATAGCCAGTACTACAGGGGGTAAGAGGAGCCCCCTGGAGGTAATAGTCAGTACTACAGGGGGTAAGAGGAGCCCCCTGGAGGTAATAGTCAGTACTACAGGGGGTAAGAGGAGCCCCCTGGAGGTAATAGTCAGTACTATAGGGGGTAAGCAGAGCCCCCTGGAGGTAGTAGTCAGTACTACAGGGGGTAAGAGGAGTCCCCTGGAGGTAATAGTCAGTACTACAGGGGTAAGCAGAGCCCCCTGGAGGTAATAGTCAGTACTACAGGGGGTAAGAGGAGCCCCCTGGAGGTAATAGTCAGTACTACAGGGGGTAAGCAGAGCCCCCTGGAGGTAATAGTCAGTACTACAGGGGGTAAGCAGAGCCCCCTGGAGGTAATAGTCAGTACTACAGGGGTAAGCAGAGCCCCCTGGAGGTAATAGTCAGTACTACAGGGGGTAAGAGGAGCCCCCTGGAGGTAATAGCCAGTACTACAGGGGGTAAGAGGAGCCCCTTGGAGGTAATAGTCAGTACTACAGGGGTAAGCAGAGCCCCCTGGAGGTAATAGTCAGTACTACAGGGGGTAAGCAGAGCCCCCTGGAGGTAATAGTCAGTACTATAGGGGGTAAGCAGAGCCCCCTGGAGGTAATAGTCAGTACTACAGGGGGTAAGCAGAGCCCCCTGGAGGTAATAGTCAGTACTATAGGGGGTAAGCAGAGCCCCCTGGAGGTAATAGTCAGTACTACAGGGGGTAAGAGGAGCCCCCTGGAGGTAATAGTCAGTACTACAGGGGGTAAGAGGAGCCCCTTGGAGGTAATAGTCAGTACTACAGGGGTTAAGAGGAGCCCCCTGGAGGTAATAGTCAGTACTACAGGGGTAAGCAGAGCCCCCTGGAGGTAATAGTCAGTACTACAGGGGGTAAGCAGAGCCCCCTGGAGGTAATAGTCAGTACTACAGGGGGTAAGAGGAGCCCCCTGGAGGTAATAGTCAGTACTACAGGGGTAAGAGGAGCCCCCTGGAGGTAATAGTCAGTACTACAGGGGTAAGCAGAGCCCCCTGGAGGTAATAGTCAGTACTACAGGGGGTAAGAGGAGCCCCCTGGAGGTAATAGCCAGTACTACAGGGGGTAAGAGGAGCCCCCTGGAGGTAATAGTCAGTACTACAGGGGGTAAGCAGAGCCCCCTGGAGGTAATAGTCAGTACTACAGGGGGTAAGAGGAGCCCCTTGGAGGTAATAGTCAGTACTACAGGGGGTAAGAGGAGCCCCCTGGAGGTAATAGTCAGTACTACAGGGGGTAAGCAGAGCCCCCTGGAGGTAGTAGTCAGTACTACAGGGGGTAAGAGGAGCCCCCTGGAGGTAATAGTCAGTACTATAGGGGGTAAGCAGAGCCCCCTGGAGGTAATAGTCAGTACTACAGGGGGTAAGAGGAGCCCCCTGGAGGTAATAGTCAGTACTACAGAGGGTAAGAGGAGCCCCCTGGAGGTAATAGTCAGTACTACAGGGGGTAAGAGGAGCCCCCTGGAGGTAATAGTCAGTACTACAGGGGGTAAGAGGAGCCCCCTGGAGGTAATAGTCAGTACTACAGGGGGTAAGAGGAGCCCCCTGGAGGTAATAACAGCTATCACCGATATAATAATAAATCCATGCCCCGCACAAATGTTACTAGTTACGTGTCGCGCGTACATGACGTGGTCTGACATCACTGAGGAGATACTAGGAGGTATTATTTTTGATGGAAAATCGAACTGGGCCATACCGTGTCGAGTCGAGTCGAACCGTACCGTACTGTTTTAGCGGCTTTAGGAGAACATTGTGTCCCTGTGTACCCGTTCCTGTGTACCCGTCCCTGTTTACCCGTCCCTGTGTCCCCGTCCCTGTGTCCCCATCCCTGTGCACCCGTCCCTGTGTACCCGTCCCTGTGTCCCCATCCCTGTGTACCCGTCCCTGTGTCCCCGTCCCTGTGCACCCATCCCTGTGTACCCGGTCCTGTGTCCCCATCCCTGTGTACCCGTCCCTGTTTACCCGTCCCTGTGTACCCATCCCTGTGTACCCGGTCCTGTGTACCCATCCCTGTGTACCCGGTCCTGTGTACCCGGTCCTGTGTACCCGTCCCTGTGTACCCGTCCCTGTGTACCCGTCCCTGTGTCCCCATCCCTGTGCACCCATCCCTGTGTACCCGGTCCTGTGTACCCGGTCCTGTGTACCCGTCCCTGTGTACCCGTCCCTGTGTACCCGTCCCTGTGTACCCAACCCTGTGTCCCCGTCCCTGTGTCCCCATCCCTGTTTACCCGTCCCTGTGCACCCGTCCCTGTGTCCCCATCCCTGTTTACCCGTCCCTGTGCACCCATCCCTGTGCACCCGTCCCTGTGTACCCGTCCCTGTGTCCCCGTCTCTGTGTCCCCGTCCCTGTGTACCCGTCCCTGTGTACCCGTCCCTGTGTCCCCGTCCCTGTGTACCCGTCCCTGTGTACCCGTCCCTGTGTACCCATCCCTGTGTACCCGTCCCTGTGCACCCATCCCTGTGTCCCCGTCCCTGTGTACCCGTCCCTGTGTACCCGTCCCTGTGTACCCGTCCCTGTGTACCCGTCCCTGTGTACCCGTCCCTGTGTACCCGTCCCTGTGTCCCCGTCCCTGTGTACCCATCCCTGTGTACCCGTCCCTGTGCACCCATCCCTGTGTCCCCGTCCCTGTGTACCCGTCCCTGTGTACCCGTCCCTGTGTACCCGTCCCTGTGTCCCCATCCCTGTGTCCCCATCCCTGTGTCCCCGTCCCTGTGTCCCCGTCCCTGTGTCCCCCATCCCTGTTTACCCGTCCCTGTGTACCCGTCCCTGTGTCCCCATCCCTGTGTACCCGTCCCTGTGTCCCCGTCCCTGTGTACCCGTCCCTGTGTCCCCATCCCTGTTTACCCGTCCCTGTGTCCCCATCCCTGTGTACCCGTCCCTGTGTCCCCATCCCTGTGTACCCGTCCCTGTGTCCCCGTCCCTGTTTACCCATCCCTGTTTACCCATCCCTGTGTACCCGTCCCTGTGTCCCCATCCCTGTTTACCCGTCCCTGTGTCCCCATCCCTGTTTACCCATCCCTGTGTACCCGTCCCTGTGTCCCCATCCCTGTGTACCCGTCCCTGTGTACCCGTCCCTGTGTCCCCGTCCCTGTGTCCCCGTCCCTGTGTACCCGTCCCTGTGTACCCGTCCCTGTGTACCCGTCCCTGTGTACCCATCCCTGTGTACCCGTCCCTGTGTACCCGTCCCTGTGTCCCCGTCCCTGTGTACCCATCCCTGTGTCCCCATCCCTGTGTCCCCGTCCCTGTGTCCCCATCCCTGTTTACCCGTCCCTGTGTCCCCATCCCTGTGTCCCCGTCCCTGTGTACCCGTCCCTGTGTACCCGTCCCTGTGTCCCCATCCCTGTGTACCCGTCCCTGTGTCCCCATCCCTGTGTACCCGTCCCTGTGTCCCCATCCCTGTGTCCCCGTCCCTGTTTACCCGTCCCTGTGTCCCCATCCCTGTGTACCCGTCCCTGTGTACCCGTTCCTGTGTACCCGTCCCTGTGTACCCGTCCCTGTGTCCCCGTCCCTGTGTACCCGTCCCTGTGTCCCCATCCCTGTGCACCCGTCCCTGTGCACCCGTCCCTGTGCACCCGTCCCTGTGTACCCGGTCCTGTGTACCCGTCCCTGTGCATCCGTCCCTGTGTCCCCGTCCCTGTGTACCCGTCCTTGTGTCCCCATCCCTGTGCACCCGTCCCTGTGTACCCGGTCCTGTGTACCCGTCCCTGTGTACCCGGTCCTGTGTACCCATCCCTGTGTACCCGTCCCTGTGTACCCATCCCTGTGTCCCCATCCCTGTGTCCCCATCCCTGTGTACCCGTCCCTGTGTACCCGTCCCTGTGTACCCATCCCTGTGTCCCCATCCCTGTGTCCCCATCCCTGTGTACCCGTCCCTGTGTACCCGGTCCTGTGTACCCGTTCCTGTGTATGGGACTTACAAACTTGTCGGTGCAGGGGAAGTCGAAGAGTTTGACGAGTCCGAAGTCGTCTCCCGTGGCAACGCTGGCCCCGGCGTGAGACACACAGGCACAGAGGACGTCGGCTTTGTCTGCGTTCCGAGGCCACACCCCCATCACCTCCTCCCCCAGGGTGCTGAGTGTGACATCACAGGGGGTTGGTGGAACATGGAGATGTTCTGCCGTCGGGTCATTTAACTCACATAATGACGCTGACCGCTTCCTGTGGCTAACAGCTGCTAGCTAACGGCTGGTCTATGGGGTTGATAACTACTTTTTGTGGGATATAGAAGTTTTTACATAATTATTTAATGAGTTGATCTTTTGAAAAATGCCACAGGTTTTAAAAAACTAGAAAAAAGACTTAAAGATGCAGACAAAGATTTATCCAGAGGCATTTTTAAAAATACTGTGGGGAAACATCCCTAAACCCCAAAAGTAGTGAAGTTGTTATGTATTTTTAAATAAACCTGATGCTTGAACCTCAACAATAAAATCATAAATATTTTGTATCAGACCGATAGAAAGAAACAAATGGGAAGCGTCCTCCCCTCCTGCTTTTCGTCAGTGCAGTTAGCTACGGCTAAGCTAACAAGAATCCTACTGCAGAAGAAGACTTTTCCCTCTGTCCTCCTCTCGTTACCTGTATTAATGCCCCTGTTTGATCGTGTTATGTGTAGAAAGACACCCACATCCTCAAACTCTCACACACTCTCACACACTCTCACACACTCACACTCTCACACACACTCACACTCTCACACACTCTCACACTCTCACACACTCTCACACTCTCACACACTCTCACACACTCACACTCTCACACACACTCACACTCTCACACACTCTCACACTCTCACACACTCTCACACTCTCACACACTCTCACACACTCTCACACACTCACACTCTCACACACACTCACACTCTCACACACTCTCACACTCTCACACACTCACACTCTCACACACTCTCACACACTCTCTCACTCTCTCACACTCACACTCTCACACACTCTCACACACTCTCACACACTCTCACACACTCTCACACTCTCACACACTCTCACACACTCTCTCACTCTCTCACACTCACACTCTCACACACTCTCACACACTCTCTCACTCTCTCACACTCACACTCTCACACACTCTCACACACTCTCACACACACTCACACACTCTCACACACTCTCACACACTCTCACACACTCTCACACACTCTCACACTCTCACACTCTCACACTCTCACACACTCTCACACACTCTCTCACTCTCTCACACTCACACTCTCACACACTCTCACACTCTCACACTCTCACACACTCTCACACACTCTCACACACACTCACACACTCTCACACACTCTCACACACTCTCACACTCTCACTCTCTCACTTACACACTCTCACACACTCTCACACACTCTCTCACTCTCTCACACTCACACTCTCACACACTCTCACACTCTCACACACACTCACACACTCTCACACTCTCACACACTCTCACACACTCTCACACACTCTCACACACTCTCTCACACTCTCACACTCTCACACTCTCTCACACTCTCACACACTCTCACACTCTCACACACTCTCACACACTCTCACACTCTCACACACTCTCACACTCTCACACTCTCACACTCTCACACTCTCTCACACTCTCACACTCTCACACCCACATCTCACACACTCTCTCACACTCTCACACTCTCACACTCTCACACTCTCACACTCTCACACTCTCACACTCTCACACTCTCACACTCTCACACACACTCTCACACTCTCACACTCTCACACTCTCACACTCTCACACTCTCACACTCTCACACTCTCACACTCTCACACTCTCACACTCTCACACTCTCTCACACTCTCACACTCTCACACTCTCTCACACTCTCACACTCTCACACTCTCTCACACTCTCACACTCTCACACTCTCACACTCTCACACTCTCACACTCTCACACACTCTCACACTCTCACACTTTCACACTCTCACACACTCTCACACTCACACTCACACACTCTCACACTCTCACACACACTCACACACTCTCACACACTCTCACACTCTCACACTCTCACACTCTCACACTCTCACACTCTCACACTCTCACACTCTCACACTCTCACACTCTCACACTCTCACACTCTCACACTCTCTCACACTCTCACACTCTCACACTCTCTCACACTCTCTCACACTCTCACACTCTCACACTCTCACACTCTCACACTCTCACACACTCTCACACTCTCACACTTTCACACTCTCACACACTCTCACACACTCACACACTCTCACACTCTCACACACTCTCACACACTCTCACACACTCTCACACACTCTCACACACTCTCACACACTCTCACACTCTCACACTCTCACACACTCTCACACACTCTCACACACTCTCACTCTCTCTCACTCTCTCACACTGTATCAGCACATGTGCCAGCAGGGGGCGCTCTACCTGGTCCAGGAGGCCCACGTGATCCTGTCGATGAGGTTCTGGTCCGACACCTGTTTGCCTGATGAGGACTCAAACACCAGCCGCTTGTACGCTGCAGTGGACACCTGAGCACAGGGACGAAGAGGCTTTAGATCAGACTGAGCACAGGGACAAAGAGGCTTTAGGTCCTTCTGAGCACAGGGACAAAGAGGCTTTAGATCCTCCTGAGCACAGGGACAAAGAGGCTTTAGATCCTCCTGAGCACAGGGACAAAGAGGCTTTAGATCCTCCTGAGCACAGGGACAAAGAGGCTTTAGATCCTCCTGAGCACAGGGACAAAGAGGCTTTAGATCCTCCTGAGCACAGGGACAAAGAGGCTTTAGATCCTCCTGAGCACAGGGACAAAGAGGCATTAGATCCTTCTGAGCACAGGGACAAAGAGGCATTAGATCCTTCTGAGCACAGGGACATAGAGGCATTAGATCCTTCTGAGCACAGGGACAAAGAGGCTTCAGAAATGTGAATCAGCCCCATCTTGTGGCAGAAGAGGGACATTACATATGCTATGATCTACTTATATGAAGAAAAACTAGATAATAATTGATATGAAAAATCAGGACAAAACCCATTTCTCACTTTTTTCTCACTGCACTGGGTTTTCCGAGTGGCTCCGTCCTGAAGCAGGCGGGTCAAAGGTGATGATTCTGGACTTTAAGGACATGAATTTACATTTCTGGACAGTGGTCGTGCTGCTCCCTATGGACCAATGGCTCTGATGTGTTTGTTATTATTAGTCCTCCTGCTGCTGTGGATCAGGGCTGTACAAAATGTATTATATTGATTTGAATGGAATCGTTTTTGTAATCACTGTGATCTTGGTGATCAACAGACGAGGTCGACCTGTTTAATCAATAGGAGCCAGAGCGAGTTGGAGCCAAACTTCACCATGAGCACTTCTAATTTCCTTTACAATATTTTGTTGTAAGTGAAACGGCTGCACCTGTATGAAGGCGCTGTCTGCAGAGAAGTCCAGCTGCAGGATGCATGCTGGGATGTCGCTGCAGTAGAGGAGGCGGCTCAGACTGGGGCCCGCCGTCATGTCGTACACGTCCACTGTGTTGTCCACGGCAACGGCCAGCAGGCGGCGCTCCGGGCTGAACCTGCAACCACAGCCATCACGAGCGTGTTTAAATATCATTACTAGCTCATCAATATAAAAAAACAGTTCTATGGAGTCTTAAAGGTATATGCTACTCATCAAGACTATTGGTCCTCCCAACTGTCAATCATTCTGGTGATATGTGCTCGTCCAAAAGACCAGAGTTTGGTTCAAAAAAAGAGAGGATGTTCTTTCCTAAAATTTGGGATTCTGTGACATACCTTTAAAGAGCGACTAAACACCTGTGCCCAGCCTGACTCCGACCCACATGAACATCTGAAAATGTTCTCTAAAAAGGGTGTTACCTGAGGACCAGGGACAAGAAGGAGGATTAGAGTTGGGCGTTGTCTGGGCTGTGATTGGCAGCTCACTAGTAACGCAAAAAAAAACAGACAGTTGTCATTGCTGCTTATAGCAATAGTTTACACACCAGAAAGTCTCGTTCCCTTGTTAACACACTAAGATAATTGTAGAGCTACACACCTGAACCTAAGCCACTGAATTATCTCAGCAGCAGTGGCTTCAAATGATGTAATTTAATTTTAATCCACTAGATGTCGCCAGAATACTCCAACCTGCTGCTGGGGCGTGTGTGAGACTTGGATGCTTTTATACCACAGGCTCAGAGTGATGTCACACACACAAACGTCAGCCATCGCTCCAAAGCCAATGGGAGGCCAGGCTCAATGCTTACGACGGATCCAGGTTCAGTCCTCGGGTCCGATCCTGTCTACGTAGTCTGTACATGCTTAACAAAGTCTACATGTCTGATAGGTGTGAAGACCTGGACCAGACCAGGACCAGACCTGGACTAGACCTGGACCAGACCTGGACCAGACCAGGACCAGACTGGGACCAGACTGGGACCAGACAGACCTCGCTCAGACCTAAAGCTGCCAATAAAAAGCTTCACAGAACAAAGACCGAGGCTTCTTGTGTCTCATTTAATAACCTGGGATAGTTATAATAACCTGGGATAGTTACTCTGGGATAGTTACTCTGGGATAGTTACTCTGGGATAGTTACTCTGGGATAGTTACTCTGGGATAGTTACCCTGGGATAGTTACTCTGGGATAGTTACTCTGGGATAGTTACCCTGGGATAGTTACTCTGGGATAGTTACTCTGGGATAGTTACTCTGGGATAGTTACATGCAGGAGGATGAGTACTATCTTTATGTGGAGGCCATATTAAAAGTTTCCTACTAAATTCTAAGTACTTTTGATGTTGAATGAAGCTAAAGGAAGACAGGAATGACTGCGCTCACGCTCATACAGGAAGCTTCATTCATGCAGCAACCCTCCTCCTCCACATTTCTTGTACATTATGCAATAAATGTAATCTTGCAAACATCGTCATCTACATCGAGCTGCGTGTGCTCATTTATGTAGTGTCAACACAACACAACCCAATACAATTAAATGTATTCTTGTATTTCCCTAAATCACAACAGCATCAACTCAGATTTAACAAAACCATTGAAATCACCGATCAGAGAATCAACAGTTAAGAAAACTGACAATCGTTGCAATTGTCAGACTAATTGCAACCAATAAACAAATCTAATCAAATCCCAGTGTTGTTTGTTCGAGTCCCTCCAGATTGAAGTGTGGTTAACAGTGATTTTTACACATGTGGATTATCGCAGATTATTGTGGATCTAATGTGAACACAGCAGGAGGGCGCAGTACCGTATGTCCTGGATGGGGGCGCTGCGGTCCCGTTTCTTGGCCCACATCTTGAGTGAGATGGAGAGCAGCACCAGGAACTCCCCGTTCTTCATCCCCACAGCGAGCATGTCTCCATCTGCACTGTAGCTCACACAGCGGGCCGCATGACCCACACACACTTTGTTCAGCAGCTTCTGCACACAACACACAACAACACACTGTGTTCAGAGGCTTCTGCACACAACACACAACAACACACTGTGTTCAGAGGCTTCTGCACACAACACACAACAACACACTGTGTTCAGAGGCTTCTGCACACAACAACACACTGTGTTCAGAGGCTTCTGCACACAACACACAACAACACACTGTGTTCAGAGGCTTCTGCACACAACACACAACAACACACTGTGTTCAGAGGCTTCTGCACACAACACACAACAACACACAGTGTTCAGAGGCTTCTGCACACAACACACACAACACACTGTGTTCAGAGGCTTCTGCACACAACACACAACAACACACTGTGTTCAGAGGCTTCTGCACACAACACACAACAACACACTGTGTTCAGAGGCTTCTGCACACAACACACAACAACACACAGTGTTCAGAGGCTTCTGCACACAACACACAACAACACACTGTGTTCAGAGGCTTCTGCACACAACACACAACAACACACTGTGTTCAGAGGCTTCTGCACACAACACACAACAACACACTGTGTTCAGAGGCTTCTGCACACAACAACACACTGTGTTCAGAGGCTTCTGCACACAACACACAACAACACACTGTGTTCAGAGGCTTCTGCACACAACACACAACAACACACTGTGTTCAGAGGCTTCTGCACACAACACACAACAACACACACTGTGTTCAGAGGCTTCTGCACACAACACACAACAACACACTGTGTTCAGAGGCTTCTGCACACAACACACAACAACACACTGTGTTCAGAGGCTTCTGCACACAACACACAACAACACACTGTGTTCAGAGGCTTCTGCACACAACACACAACAACACACTGTGTTCAGAGGCTTCTGCACACAACACACAACAACACACTGTGTTCAGCAGCTTCTGCACACAACACACAACAACACACTGTGTTCAGAGGCTTCTGCACACAACACACAACAACACACTGTGTTCAGCGGCTTCTGCACACAACACACAACAACACACTGTGTTCAGCAGCTTCTGCACACAACACACAATCTGAGGCTGAGTCTGGCGGCCTCTACACACTGCACGCGTCATTTGAAGCAGAAAGTTTCTGTGCCCCAGGGCAGCTGTGGCTACTGAGGCTGAGGCTGAGGCTGAGACTGAGACAGAGACAGAGACAGAGACAGAGACAGAGACTGAGGCTGAGGCTGAGGCTGAGACTGAGACTGAGGCTGAGGCTGAGGCTGAGGCTGAGGCTGAAACTGAGACTGAGGCTGAGGCTGAGACTGAGGCTGAGGCTGGGGCTGAGGCTGAGGCTGAGACTGAGGCTGAGGCTGAGGCTGAGACTGAGGCTGAGACTGAGGCTGAGACTGAGGCTGAGGCTGAGACTGAGACTGAGGCTGGGGCTGAGGCTGAGGCTGAGGCTGAGACTGAGGCTGGGACTGAGTCTGAGACTGAGACTGAGGCTGAGACTGAGGCTGAGGCTGAGGCTGAGACTGAGACTGAGACTGAGGCTGAGACTGAGGCTGAGACTGAGGCTGAGGCTGAGACTGAGACTGAGACTGAGGCTGGGACTGAGTCTGAGACTGAGACTGAGGCTGAGACTGAGGCTGAGACTGAGGCTGAGGCTGAGACTGAGACTGAGACTGAGGCTGAGACTGAGACTGAGGCTGAGGCTGAGGCTGAGGCTGAGACTGAGGCTGAGGCTGAGGCTGAGACTGAGACTGAGGCTGAGGCTGAGACTGAGGCTGAGGCTGAGGCTGAGACTGAGACTGAGGCTGAGGCTGAGGCTGAGACTGAGGCTGAGGCTGAGGCTGAGACTGAGACTGAGACTGAGGCTGAGGCTGAGGCTGAGACTGAGACTGAGACTGAGACTGAGGCTGAGGCTGAGACTGAGGCTGAGGCTGAGACTGAGGCTGAGGCTGAGGCTGAGGCTGAAACTGAGACTGAGGCTGAGGCTGAGACTGAGGCTGAGGCTGGGGCTGAGGCTGAGGCTGAGACTGAGGCTGGGACTGAGTCTGAGACTGAGGCTGAGACTGAGGCTGAGACTGAGGCTGAGGCTGAGACTGAGACTGAGACTGAGGCTGAGACTGAGGCTGAGACTGAGGCTGAGGCTGAGGCTGAGACTGAGGCTGAGGCTGAGGCTGAGGCTGAAACTGAGACTGAGGCTGAGGCTGAGACTGAGGCTGAGGCTGGGGCTGAGGCTGAGGCTGAGACTGAGGCTGGGACTGAGTCTGAGACTGAGGCTGAGGCTGAGGCTGAGACTGAGACTGAGACTGAGGCTGAGACTGAGGCTGAGACTGAGGCTGAGGCTGAGACTGAGACTGAGACTGAGGCTGGGACTGAGTCTGAGACTGAGACTGAGGCTGAGACTGAGGCTGAGACTGAGGCTGAGGCTGAGACTGAGACTGAGACTGAGGCTGAGACTGAGACTGAGACTGAGACTGAGGCTGAGACTGAGACTGAGACTGAGGCTGAGGCTGAGGCTGAGTCTGAGGCTGAGGCTGAGTCTGAGGCTGAGGCTGAGGCTGAGGCTGAGACTGAGACTGAGACTGAGGCTGGGACTGAGTCTGAGACTGAGACTGAGGCTGAGACTGAGGCTGAGACTGAGGCTGAGGCTGAGACTGAGACTGAGACTGAGGCTGAGACTGAGACTGAGACTGAGACTGAGGCTGAGACTGAGACTGAGACTGAGGCTGAGGCTGAGGCTGAGTCTGAGGCTGAGGCTGAGTCTGAGGCTGAGTCTGAGACTGAGACTGAAACTGACATCCACAAAGCTTGACTTATAAAATAATAACAAACTTTAAAACGATTCATATTTTCCCAGTTTCACTTGTTTTGTTTTGTCTGGCATTGCCACACATCTGTAATCTCTGGAGCTACACACATAGTCCTTCATAAAGATTCCTGGTCCTAATAAACCGTAGTGTTCCAGGACAGAGAGATGCACCTTGTCCGCCAGGTCCCACAGGCGGATGGTGCAGTCGTCAGAGGCCGTGATGCACAGGTCTTTGCTGGGGTGAGTGGCCAGACCCCACACGGCCCCCCGCCCGTGGCTGTCCAGCAGGATGTTGGAGGCAGCGTTCTTCTCCCCCACCTCGATGATCTCTCCGTCTTTGGTCCCCACCAGGATCTTCCCCTGAAACAGCACAGCGAGGGTTTGTCTCATGTGTACAACTAAATACACACGTATAAGCCTCAAGACCCTCCTGTTATGGTTAAATTATATGTTATTGTTCCTTCTGTCAGGAGCAGTGGGCGCTGGAGCACAGGGGACTCATATCCAGATGTTGATGCAGGTCCAGGATTTTATCTATTGCACCTGTTTTTAGAGCAAGGGGAAACTGGAGCACCAAGAGTCAGACATGGGAAGAACATGCAAACTCCACTGAGAAAGGCCCTGTTCCGACCGGGATTCAAACCCAAGACTTTCTTGCCGAGAGCGAGTCCTCGACCGTCTGCAGACCTTCCCAGATTCTGTAAATTCCCCCTTTCTTACCATTTCATTTTCCTATGTCCCTTTTCCAGACAAAGAATTACTAAAGGCACCAAAACTAAGCAGGTACGGGGTGAAAAAACCCGCTTTTAGTCCAGAAAATGTAGAGAGGATCAAAGAAGTCTGACTTGTATTCTGAGGGAGTATCTACTGAAGTCACCTGTTTAAGGGATTATCAACATAATGTTGAATGTGAGAGTTTGTGTGGTTACCCGGGCGACCACAGAGCTCTGGTCGTACCTTTCCTCTGCAGACGGAGCGCACACACTCCACCTGCTGCCCCGTCTCCAGCTGGAAGGCTCTGCAGCGCTTCATCTCCTGGTCCCACAGCTTCACCGCCCCCCCCTCTTTGGTCCTGCCACAGAGGGGACACAGTCAGTGTGTGTGTCTCTGTGTGTGTGTGTCAGTCTGTGTCAGTGTGTGTGTGTCAGTCTGTGTCAGTGTGTGTGTGTGTGTCAGTGTGTGTGTGTCAGTCTGTGTCAGTGTGTGTGCGTGTGTGTGTGTGTATGTGTCAGTCTGTGTCAGTGTGTGTGCATGTGTGTGTGTGTGTGTGTCAGTCTGTGTCAGTGTGTGTGCATGTGTGTGTCTATGTGAGAGAGATTAAACTTGACTCAATTCTCAGATGAGTTTCTTTCATATTTTCTTTTTTAAAAGGTCTATATTCGTACATTATTCTCACATTTGTGGTCCGAGACAAAAGTTAGAGCTCATCATTTGAGGCAGTGTTTCAGATGTATACAGCTAAAACCTGGAACAGTCTTCCTGAAAATGTAAGAAAGGCTTCTACTCTGTTCAAATCCAGGTTAAAACAGTTGTTTTTCTGTGAATATTTTACAATATATTATATATTACAAGCCCCGGCGATCCAAGATGGCGTCGTATTCAAATGAATGGTTTGTGCTCGCCTGGAACTCGCAAAGATCCACGGGGAACTCGTCTGGTCCTCCTGGTTCTGCTCAGTGGATTATCTCCCATGATGCTTTGCGCCAAATACGCGTGTGTGGCTCTCATGCACGTGCACAGAGGGTCTCGGCCGCGCTCTGACCAATCAGAGCAGTTTATCAGAGCGGGAGTTAGAGCCAGAGCCAGACGAGCAGAGTTTGTGGCACTAAAGTGTGGATTTAAACAAAACCGAAGGATTTAAGAAGAAAAAAAGGTGAAGATGACAAGGGACACTAAAATCCCCACAAAATCTGATCTTTATGAAAGCTGTAGGTTCTCTGTCAGGTTCTCTGTCAGGTTCTCTGTCAGCTGAGGTCACGCTGGTTTAGTTCACATTGAGTTCTATGGGGAAAATGTCTGGGTAGCCCACGTGAATTTAGTCTGGTCTAGTCTGGTTTAGTCTGGTCTAGTCTGCAGTACCGCGAGAATCCCCCGAGCACATGAGTTATTCCGCTCCAAGCTGTAATATCCTAAACAGTTATTATAATAGATCGATGATGTTTGTGCACTTTGAACACCTTGTGTATGAACTGTGCTATACAAATAAACTTTCCTTGTGTGAGAGTGGGGAGGAGCAGAGGGAGGAGGAGCAGAGTGAGGATGAGGAGAGTGAGGAGGAGGAGGGTCAGATTCAGATCAGATTCATTTATTTGCCACCTGCAGGGTCAGGAGGTGCAGTGTGAGTAGGAGCAGAGTGAGGAGGTGCAGTGTGAGTAGGAGCAGAGTGAGGAGGTGCAGAGTGAGGAGGCGCAGTGTGAGGAGGTGCAGTGTGAGTAGGAGCAGAGTGAGGAGGAGCAGTGTGAGGAGGTGCAGTGTGAGTAGGAGCAGAGTGAGGAGGTGCAGTGTGAGGAGGTGCAGTGTGAGTAGGAGCAGAGTGAGGAGGTGCAGTGTGAGGAGGAGCAGTGTGAGGAGGAGCAGAGTGAGGAGGTGCAGTGAGGAGGAGCAGTGTGAGGAGGAGCAGAGTGAGGAGGTGCAGTGTGAGGAGGAGTAGATGGAGGAGAAGCAGAGTGAGGAGGAGCAGAGTGAGGAGGTGCAGTGTGAGTAGGAGCAGAGTGAGGAGGAGCAGAGTGAGGAGGTGCAGTGTGAGTAGGAGCAGATGGAGGAGAAGCAGAGTGAGGAGGAGCAGTGTGAGGAGGTGCAGTGTGAGGAGGAGTAGATGGAGGAGGAGCAGAGTGAGGAGGAGCAGTGTGAGGAGGTGCAGTGTGAGGAGGAGTAGATGGAGGAGGAGCAGAGTGAGGAGGTGCAGTGTGAGGAGGAGTAGATGGAGGAGGAGCAGAGTGAGGAGGAGCAGAGTGAGGAGGAGCAGTGTGAGGCAAGGCAAGGCAAGTTTATTTATATAGCACAATTCATACACAAGGCAATTCAAAGTGCTGAACAAAACAAGAAAGCATTAAAATCATAAATTATCACAGAAAATTAAAAAGAAAGATAAAAATATAAAATCCCTCAGTTGTAGCACAGTTAAACAGAACTGTCTTTAACCTGGTTTTAAACATTGTCAGAGAGGAGGCCTGTCTCACATCTTCAGGAAGACTGTTCCAGATTTTAGCAGCATGAATCTGAAAAGCAGCCTCCCCATGTTTAGTTCTGACTCTGGGCACTAACAGGAGTCCAGTCCCTGTGCTCCTCAGAGTCCCAGCAGGAGTCCAGTCCCTGTGCTCCTCAGAGTCCCAGCAGGAGTCCAGTCCCTGTGCTCCTCAGAGTCCCAGCAGGAGTCCAGTCCCTGTGCTCCTCAGAGTCCGGGCTGGTTCATAAGGGACTAACATGTCACTAATATATTTTGGTGCGAGGCTATGGAGAGACTTGTAACAAGCAGAGCTGTTTTAAAGTCTATTCTCTGAGCCACAGGAAGCCAGTGCAGAGACCTGAGGACTGGACTAATGTGGTCGTACTTCCTGGTTCTAGTCAGGACTCGAGCTGCTGCATTTTGAATATACTGCAGCTGTTTTACAGCCTGTTTGGACAGACCTGTGAGCAGGCCATTGCAGTAGTCTAACCTACTGGAGACAAATGCATGGATAAGAATCTCCAAGTCTGCTTTAGACACTATGTTTTTGATCCTGGCAATGTTTTTTAGATGGTAAAAAGCTGCTGATGTTACTGATTTGATGTGGCTATTAAAATTTAAGTCTGAGTCCAGTATTACCCCTAGATTTCTGACCTTGTTTGAAGGTTTTAGGGAGAGAGACTGTAGGTGACAGATGACGCTCTCTCTTTGTTTCTGGGGACCAAAGACAATCATTTCAGTTTTGTCTGCGTTTAGCTGAAGGAAGTTGTTTTGCATCCACTCACTGATCTGTTGGATACAGTGAAGGAGTGAGTCCACTGGTCCATGTTCTCCTGCAGTCAGTGAGACATAGATCTGAGTGTCGTCTGCATAGTTATGATAGGAAACTTTGTTTCTGCGTATTAACTGACCTAACGGCAGCATGTAGAGATTGAACAGAAGAGGTCCCAGGATCGACCCCTGTGGTACTCCACAGGTCAGGGCCATATGATCTGAGACACAGTTTCCAATCTCCACAAAGTACTTCCTGTCTTCAAGGTAAGACCTAAACCAACTTAGGGCGGTGCCAGCGACGCCAACCCAGTCCTCTAGTCTCTGTAAGAGGATCTCATGGTCGACGGTGTCAAAGGCAGCACTTAGATCTAACAAGATTAAGATTGAGACTTTGCCTGCGTCAGTGTTCAGCCGGATATCGTTTGTAACCTTAAGGAGAGCAGTCTCAGTGCTGTGGTGGGGTCTAAAGCCGGACTGAAACATATCAAATGAGTTGTTGATTATAAGAAATCTAGTAAGCTGTAGGTAGACAACTTTCTCAAGGACTTTCCCCATAAATGGCAGATTTGAGATGGGACGATAGTTGTTAAGTACAGTGGCATCCAGACTGCTCTTTTTTAGCAGGGGCCTGATGACTGCAGTTTTCAGGGCCTTTGGGAATATTCCAGAATGAAGGGACATGTTTACTATCTGTGTGAGTGAAGGTAACAGACTGCTCAGAACAGACTTTAGAAATCTAGTGGGTAGTACATCCAGGCTGCATGTGGAGGAGCTCAAACTGGAGATTATCTCTTGGACAGTTTTATCATTTACAGGTGCAAAGTGAGTTAGCTCAGAGGCTGTTGGATGGTTATCTGTGGATTGGAGACAATGGCGCTTTTGATGCCTTGAACCTTGTCATTGAAAAAATTAGCAAACTCATTGCATTTACGTTTGGAAGTAAGCTCTAATGGCATTTGAACAGGGGGGTTTGTTAATCTATTAACTGTTGAGAACAGAACACGCAGATTGTTGCTGCAGCCTTCAATCATTTCAGAAAGATACCTTTCTCTCGTACTACGTAGCACCCGGTTAAAATGAAATGAATGAAATGAAATGAAATGTAACCTTCACAGGGGCAACGGTATCCAGAACATTCAAAACACTAGAGGTGACAGAGTTAAACAGTTCATCTACAGTAGAATACGATGCATTCTCAAAGTTTATCATTTCCATAAATAGTTCACTCGTATTTTCATTTATGCGCCTTCTTCGAACAGTTGCAGAGTCCACTGGTGGTTTGTTAGTGAAACACATGTCAAAAAAAACACAGAAATGATCCGAAAGAGCAACATCGACCACGTTTACATTAGAAATAATCACCCCCTTTGTAACTAACAGATCTAGAGTGTGCCCTCTGCTGTGGGTGGGGCCACTTACGTGCTGAGTGAGATCAAAGGATTCAAGTAAAGAACTCAGCTCATTTGCATTTCTGTCATCAACATTATCCACATGAATATTAAAATCACCTGCAATAACCAAACTATCAAAATCTGTGCATACAACTGAAAGCAACTCGGTAAAATGATCAATAAAACTGTGACATGACTGCGGTGGCTTGTATAGGACAACGAAGAGTATTGGAGGAGATTGTTTTTGTTGTATTTTAAAAGACACATATTCAAATGACGAAAACTTCCCAAGAGACATTCTATGGGAGACAAAGTGGTCACTAAAAATGGCAGCTAAGCCTCCTCCTTTTTTGTTTTCCCGTATTTCAGATTCAAACTTGAAATTTGGTGGTGATGCTTCTATTAAAACTGCATTTTCTGAATTTTGGTCAAGCCAAGTTTCAGCCATGAACATAAGATCAAGATTATGAGAAGAAATAAAATTATTGATTAAAAAAGACTTGTTACAAAGAGATCTGACATTAAGCGTAGCAAGTTTCAAAGTTTCAGTATCAGCGGTTGCGGTCGGCTGATTCTTACACGGAACAAGAATTAGATTTTCCAGATTAGACTGATTAACTCCAGATGTTTTTCTGTAATGTATTCTTTGTGTTATCACTAAGGGAATGGCACAGGTGGCTTCATGACAGGGCCCCAGCCGGGTCTCTCCTCTAACTAGACTGCCAGTGGCTGCGAAGCAGAGACCCTGTGCATCCTAGTGTTTAGAGAAAAGAGGGGAAGGGGAAGGCAGGGGAGGAGGATGGAGAGGTGGGTGGCTTTTGGGTGTTGAACGAGGGGGGCAGGGAGGTGGAGGGGTTTTAGGTGATGGGTTAGGGCCGGGGTGGGCTGAGGCAGAGGTTTTGGGTGTTGAACGAGGGGGAAGTGGGGGTGGAATGGTCATGAGGTTAGGGGAGGGACTGGCTGAGGTGGTTTTTGTAGGTGAATTGGAAACCCTAGGTGGTTTTGGAGGTACATATGGGGAGTGGTTTAGAATGTTGGACAGGACTCTAGATCGAGCTAATATGGGTGTGAGAGGAATAGTCTTCATCGCCGATTTTATTAGCCCTGCAGAGTGTTCAGGTAGGTCTAACAGTGAAGGCGGGGATGAAAAACAAAGGGAGGTGTCCCCATTCTCTCTTGATGGAGTGGACGTGGCAGGGGGGACCCAAGACAGGTCCATGGGAGGTGGCGAGGGAGTCTTTGATGGAGGGGCAGGTGGTTGAGGAAACCCCAGCACAGGCCTGTCTGCTGTAGGCTGGGGTGAGGATTGGGGCCTCAGAGGCGCTGTAGATGAAGAAGGCGTGGCTGCTTTGGAGCAGGCTGGGGATGAGGATGGTGGTGGTGGTCGTGCTGCTGGTGCTGCTACTGGTGATGATGCAGCTGCTGCTGGTGATGATGCAGCTGCTTCTGATGACAGTGGAGGTGTTGAGATCCTTCGAGGTGGTTGTGGTGTTGAGATCCTTTGAGGCGGTGATGGTGTTGAGATCCTTCGAGGTGGTGGTGGTGTTGAGATCCTTCGAGGTGGTGGAGGTGCAGAGACTTTTGGAGTCGGCTTTCTCCCTTTTGATGGCTGCACGCGCTGCGCAGGCTGAGGTCTCAGGGCAAAAGAAAGGTTATCCATCAAGACTTTTACTCCGTAAGTGTTCAGATGTGGCCCTTTCCCTTCAAAAAGCTCATGCCTATTCCAGAACAGATGAAGGCAAGTCCTCTGCGTGAACATTCGTTGAGTAGGAAAGTATTTAGCTGATACAGACGACTGAATTTCATTTGCTTCCCGTCCACATTTGGTAGTGGGCCACTGATAACGATTTTTGTGTCCATTTTAGCAAGGTCGTCCAATAAGAGAGAGTAATCCCGTTTCAACTTTTCACTTGTGTTGTCATAGACGTCTACTGCCCCCACGTGGATCAACAATCTTTTTACCCCGCCGGTCTCAGACAGAAGCCTCGGAGCCAACCGCCTTATCTCATCCACTTTGGCAGAGTGTACTGAGTGAACCTTGAGATTACGCATATTTACATTTCTTATCGCCGAATCCCCGATAAAGAGCGACTCAGCTGCATTTGACCTTGACTGAGACTGAGACTGCGACTGAGAGACTACAGCTGATTCATCTTCCAAAAGTGGTGAAAAGCGGTTTCTTGTAATTAAAGATTTTTGCTGTGGCATTATGACACTCTTGTTATCATTAGCTTTGCCTTGTTTGGGCTTGGCACCATATGTGTTCCAACAATTGTCTCTGTTGATTTTGGGAAATGAAATAGCGTCATCATAACTTACGTTCTGTCCATTTGGTCCATTTCCTTTCACTGGTATTGTTGTGTTCAGCCCCAATTCTGATTCAAGCACAAACATTCGGTCTTGAAGAAGTTTTAGCTCCTGTTTGAGTGAAAAACAGCCGTCGCAAAGTTTTGTTCTATTTTCCCGTCCTCCCGACATGCTGTAAGTTAGGTAAATTCCACCAGTCTTGTGTTGAAGTTTGTAAAAAGGAGTAATCCGTGTTTTGTGGAATAAAAATGTAAGCAAAAATGATTAAAGGAGATAAAAAAGCAGCAAGCGAGGAGCAGCAAGCGAGGAGCAGCAAGAGAATGCGACTGCTCTGTCCAGAGCAGGAATGTGAGGAGGTGCAGTGTGAGTAGGAGCAGAGTGAGGAGGAGCAGTGTGAGGAGGTGCAGTGTGAGTAGGAGCAGAGTGAGGAGGTGCAGTGTGAGGAGGAGCAGTGTGAGGAGGAGCAGAGTGAGGAGGTGCAGTGTGAGGAGGAGCAGTGTGAGGAGGAGCAGAGTGAGGAGGTGCAGTGTGAGGAGGTGCAGTGTGAGTAGGAGCAGAGTGAGGAGGTGCAGTGTGAGGAGGTGCAGTGTGAGTAGGAGCAGAGTGAGGAGGTGCAGTGTGAGGAGGAGCAGTGTGAGGAGGAGCAGAGTGAGGAGGTGCAGAGTGAGGAGGAGCAGTGTGAGGAGGAGCAGAGTGAGGAGGTGCAGTGTGTGTGAGGAGGAGAAGATGGAGGAGAAGCAGAGTGAGGAGGAGCAGAGTGAGGAGGTGCAGTGTGAGTAGGAGCAGAGTGAGGAGGAGCAGAGTGAGGAGGTGCAGTGTGAGTAGGAGCAGATGGAGGAGAAGCAGAGTGAGGAGGAGCAGTGTGAGGAGGTGCAGTGTGAGGAGGAGTAGATGGAGGAGGAGCAGAGTGAGGAGGAGCAGTGTGAGGAGGTGCAGTGTGAGGAGGAGTAGATGGAGGAGGAGCAGAGTGAGGAGGTGCAGTGTGAGTAGGAGCAGAGTGAGGAGGAGCAGAGTGAGGAGGAGCAGTGTGAGGAGGTGCAGTATGAGTAGGAGCAGAGTGAGGAGGAGCAGAGTGAGGAGGTGCAGTGTGAGTAGGAGCAGAGTGAGGAGGAGCAGAGTGAGGAGGTGCAGTGTGAGGAGGAGCAGTGTGAGGAGGAGTAGATGGAGGAGGAGCAGAGTGAGGAGGTGCAGTGTGAGTAGGAGCAGAGTGAGGAGGAGCAGAGTGAGGAGGTGCAGTGTGAGGAGGAGCAGAGTGAGGAGGTGCAGTGTGAGGAGGAGCAGAGTGAGGAGGAGCAGAGTGAGGAGGAGCAGTGTGAGGAGGTGCAGTGTGAGGAGGAGTAGATGGAGGAGGAGCAGAGTGAGGAGGTGCAGTGTGAGTAGGAGCAGATGGAGGAGAAGCAGAGTGAGGAGGAGCAGTGTGAGGAGGAGTAGATGGAGGAGGAGCAGAGTGAGGAGGTGCAGTGTGAGAAGGAGTAGATGGAGGAGGAGCAGAGTGAGTAGGAGCAGAGTGAGGAGGAGCAGTGTGAGGAGGAGTAGATGGAGGAGGAGCAGAGTGAGTAGGAGCAGAGTGAGGAGGAGCAGTGTGAGGAGGAGTAGATGGAGGAGGAGCAGAGTGAGGAGGTGCAGTGTGAGGAGGTGCAGTGTGAGGAGGAGTAGATGGAGGAGGAGCAGAGTGAGGAGGTGCAGTGTGAGGAGGTGCAGTGTGAGGAGGAGTAGATGGAGGAGGAGCAGAGTGAGGAGGTGCAGTGTGAGGAGGTGCAGTGTGAGGAGGAGTAGATGGAGGAGGAGCAGAGTGAGGAGGTGCAGTGTGAGTAGGAGCAGTGTGAGTAGGAGCAGAGTGAGGAGGTGCAGTGTGAGTAGGAGCAGTGTAAGTAGGAGCAGATGGAGGAGGAGCAGTGTGAGGAGGAGTAGATGGAGGAGGAGCAGAGTGAGGAGGTGCAGTGTGAGGAGGTGCAGTGTGAGGAGGAGTAGATGGAGGAGGAGCAGAGTGAGGAGGTGCAGTGTGAGTAGGAGCAGTGTGAGTAGGAGCAGAGTGAGGAGGTGCAGTGTGAGTAGGAGCAGTGTGAGTAGGAGCAGATGGAGGAGGTGCAGGACACTCACGGTCTCTCCTTGCCCCCCGTCACGATGAGGCCGTCCCTCAGGGTGGTGTACATGGTGAAGACAGGACCAGTGTGAGCTTTGGCCACGAGCCTCAACAGGAAGTGCTCCCTCCACACGTACACGTCTCCATTAATGCCCCCGGAGAACGTTAGCTGGTTCTGAGGGGGAGAGAGGAGAACGTTAGCTGGTTCTGAGGGGGAGAGAGGAGAACGTTAGCTGGTTCTGAGGGGGAGAGAGGGGGAGAGAGGAGAACGTTAGCTGGTTCTGAGGGGGAGAGAGGGGGAGAGAGGAGAACGTTAGCTGGTTCTGAGGGGGAGAGAGGAGAACGTTAGCTGGTTCTGAGGGGGGAGAGGAGAACGTTAGCTGGTTCTGGGGGGGAGAGAGGGGGAGAGAGGAGAACGTTAGCTGGTTCTGAGGGGGAGAGGGGGGAGAGAGGAGAACGTTAGCTGGTTCTGGGGGGGAGAGAGGGGGGAGAGAGGAGAACGTTAGCTGGTTCTGAGGGGGAGAGGGGGGGAGAGAGGAGAACGTTAGCTGGTTCTAAGGGGGAGAGAGGAGAACGTTAGCTGGTTCTGAGGGGGAGAGAGGAGAACGTTAGCTGGTTCTGAGGGGGAGAGAGGGGGAGAGAGGAGAACGTTAGCTGGTTCTGAGGGGGAGAGAGGAGAACGTTAGCTGGTTCTGAGGGGGAGAGAGGAGAATGTTAGCTGGTTCTGAGGGGGAGAGGGGGGGAGAGAGGAGAACGTTAGCTGGTTCTAAGGGGGAGAGAGGAGAACGTTAGCTGGTTCTGGGGGGGAGAGAGGGGGAGAGAGGAGAACGTTAGCTGGTTCTGAGGGGGAGAGGGGGGGCGAGAGGAGAACGTTAGCTGGTTCTAAGGGGGAGAGAGGAGAACGTTAGCTGGTTCTGAGGGGGAGAGAGGAGAACGTTAGCTGGTTCTGAGGGGGAGAGAGGAGAACGTTAGCTGGTTCTGAGGGGGAGAGAGGAGAACGTTAGCTGGTTCTGAGGAGGAGAGAGGAGAACGTTAGCTGGTTCTGAGGGGGAGAGAGGAGAATGTTAGCTGGTTCTGTGGGGAGAGAGGGGGAGAGAGGAGAACGTTAGCTGGTTCTAAGGGGGAGAGAGGAGAACGTTAGCTGGTTCTAAGGGGGAGAGAGGAGAACGTTAGCTGGTTCTGTGGGGAGAGAGGGGGAGAGAGGAGAATGTCAGCTGGTTCTGAGGGGGAGAGAGGAGAATGTCAGCTGGTTCTGAGGGGGAGAGGGGGAGAGAGGAGAATGTCAGCTGGTTCTGTGGGGAGAGAGGGGGAGAGGTCAGCTGGCTCTGAGGGGAGAGAGGTGAGACAGAGAGGGAGGCGGGGGAGACAATAGGGAGACAGGGGTGAGACAGGGGGAGATGGGTGAGACCAGAGGGAGACACGGGTGAGACAGGGCACACAAGAGTTATACGGGGACACAATAGTGAGATGGGTGAGACAGGGATTAGATAGGGGTGAGGCCATGGTGAGACAAGGGTGAGGCAGGGGTGAGATAGAGGAGAGACACATGACACAATAGTGAGACAGAGGTGAGATAAGGGTGAGACAGGGGTGAGATGGGGACACAAGAGTGAGACACGGGGCACAATAGTGAGACAACAGCGAGACAGGGGTGAGACAATAGATGAGACGATGTGATACAGGGGTGAGACATGGGGTGAGGAGGGGGTAATACAGAGGTAAGACATGGGGTGAGACATGGGTTGAGACCGGGTGAGACAGGGGTGAGACAAGGGTGATACCGGGTGAGGCACGGGGTGAGACAGGGGTGAGACATGGGGTGAGACGAGAGAGGGACATGGGGTGATACAGGGGTGAGACCGGGTGAGGCATGAGGTGAGGAATGCAGTGATATGGGGGTGCGATAGGGGTGAGACAGGGGTGAGACATGGGGTGAGGCGAGAGGGGGGCATGGGGTGATACAGGGGTGAGACATGGGGTGAAACAGGGGTGAGACCGGGTGAGACAGGGGTGAGACATGGGGTGAGACATGGGGTGAGGCGAGAGGGGGGCATGGGGTGATACAGGGGTGAGACATGGGGTGAAACAGGGGTGAGACCGGGTGAGACAGGGGTGAGACATGGGGTGAGACATGGGGTGAGGCGAGAGGGGGGCATGGGGTGATACAGGGGTGAGACATGGGGTGATACAGGGGTGAGACCGGGTGAGGCACAGGGTGAGGCATGCAGTGATATGGGGGTGAGATAGGGGTGAGACAGGGGTGAGACATGGGGTGAGACGGGGGTGAGACAGGCTCCATCATGTATGTACCGCCCCGAAGGCCACCGAGAGCATGGTCTGCAGCCGGCCGTCCTCCAGCGTCCCGACCACGCCCTTCTTGTACATCAGGGCTCCTCCCGCCAGAGTCCAGAACTTTATGTGTTTGATTCCCACAGACACGAACTGAGTGTCGGAGTCCGGTCTGAACTCCACCACGAAGATCCGGTCTGGGTGTCCCGCCCGGCAGCACACCCGCGTACCTGTCCGGGCGAGGAGATTACACTCAGATTAATATTCAGATAAAGATTACAGTTCAGATCAAGATTCAGATTAAGATTCAGATCAAGATTAAAATGCAGATTTGGATTCAGATTGAGATTACGATTCAGATTCAAATTCAAATTCATATTCAGATTAAGATGCAGATTTGCATTCAAAATCAGATTCAGATACGGATTCATATTAAGATTAAAACACAGATTCAGAATAAGATCAGGATTAGGATTAGGATTAAAATTCATATTCATAAGATTCATATTCAGATAACGATTCAGATTAAGATTAATACACAAATTCAGATTAAGATTAAGATGCGATACAATTTAAGATTAGAATTAAGGTTAAGATTAAGATTAAGATTAATATTACGATTCAGATTAGGATTGCGATTAAGAATAGGATTAAGATTCAGATTAAGATTCAGATTCAGATACATTTAATCACTTTTCAGTGATTAAAGGTAAAACATATATAAATACCTTTAAATGATTTACATTTAATAATCTGGTAAAAACAAAACATTTTGGGGAATTTCTCAGAATTCCATTGGTTTGAATTTCAGCAGTCATTTATCACACTACATATCCTGTGTTTGAACAGTTTGATTCTCTGATCTGTGAAGTCCTCAGAGAAACTCCTGCTGTGATTTAGGGCGATGCAGGAGTAGGACTGAACTGAATGAATTGTAGTTTGATAATTCAGAGGATGAAGCTGTAGGAGAGTGTAACCATGGCGACGGACCTTCCTGCCAGCGCCACACGGTGATGCTGTGCTCCGGCTCCACGCCCACAGACAACAGCAGTTTCCCGGTGGAGCTGAAGTTGACGTATCCCACTCCCTTACTGTGGGGGCAGCGCAGGATGGACAGGGTCTGCTTACTCAGGGCGTCCCAGATGTGGATGGACGGGGTGCTGCCTGAAGCGGGTCACAAGAGGCAGGCTTTAGTCACCGCTGTGAGGCACCAGACCGGGACCAGACCGGGACCAGACCAGGAGCAGACCGGGACCAGACTAGAACCAGACTAGAACCAGACTGGCACCAGACTGGCACCAGACCGGGACCTGACCAGGACCAGAGCAGGACCAGACCGGCACCAGACCAGACCAGGACCAGACCGGGACCAGACCGGCACCAGATGGGGACCAGGGGACGGGGACCAGGAACACACAGAGCAGTCAGGGAGGCAGGGCGGGTGCAGGCCCCCAGGAGCCACTCAGCATCACTCACTACTGCTCTCTCAGGTCAAGACTTGATCCGATGGTGACACTTTAGAGTCCGCCAGGAGACCAGGACCCTCTGAACCCCCACTAGCCCTGTTTCCACCAGCCCTACTTGGCCCTACTCCCCTCTACTCTACCTGGTTGAGGCTGAGTAGGGCTGAGTGGGGCTGAGTAGGGCTGAGTGGGGCTGAGTAGGGCTGAGTGGGGCTGAGTAGGGCTGAGTGGGGCTGAGTGGGGCTGAGTAGGGCTGAGTAGGGCTGAGTAGGGCTGAGTGGGGCTGAGTGGGGCTGAGTGGGGCTGAGTGGGGCTGAGTAGGGCTGAGTAGGGCTGAGTAGGGCTGAGTGGGGCTGAGTGGGGCTGAGTAGGGCTGAGTAGGGCTGAGTAGGGCTGAGTGGGGCTGAGTGGGGCTGAGTGGGGCTGAGTGGGGCTGAGTAGGGCTGAGTAGGGCTGAGTAGGGCTGAGTGGGGCTGAGTGGGGCTGGTGGAAACGAGGCTAAAGAATGCTTTTATATATATTTTCTTCTTTTCTTCTGACCCTAAAAATCTAAATCCTTCATAGATATAATTAATCTCTAAACTTTAAATATTTGTATAAAAACTGTACATGATAAAAGTACTGTATTACTTTTTTAGGTGTGCTTTTGTAGTGTGTGTGTATGATTATGTGTGTGTGTGTGTGTGTATGATTATGTGTGTGTGTGTGTGTGTATGATTATGTGTGTGTGTGTGTGATTATGTGTGTGTGTGTGTGTATGATTATGTGTGTGTGTGTATGATTATGTGTGTGTGTGTGTATGATTGTGTGTGTGCGTGTGTGTGTATGATTATGTGTGTGTGTGTGTGTGTGTATGATTATGTGTGTGTGTGTGTGTGTGTGTGTGTGTGTATATGATTATGTGTGTGTGTGTGTGTGTATGATTATGTGTGTGTGTGTGTGTGTATGATTATGTGTGTGTGTGTGTGTATGATTATGTGTGTGTGTATGATTATGTGTGTGTGTGTGTATGATTATGTGTGTGCGTGTGTATGATTATGTGTGTGCGTGTGTGTGTGTGTATGATTATGTGTGTGTGTGTATGATTATGTGTGTGCGTGTGTGTATGATTATGTGTGTGCGTGTGTGTGTATGATTATGTGTGTGTGTATATGATTATGTGTGTGTGTGTATGATTATGTGTGTGTGTGTGTATGATTGTGTGTGTGTGTGTGTGTGTGTGTGTATGATTATGTGTGTGTGTGTGTATGATTGTGTGTGTGTGTGTGTGTGTGTGTGTGTGTATGATTATGTGTGTGTGTGTGTGTTGTTGTAAGATACATATGTTTATCCTCATGTGTATCGACTGGTTATAAGGTATGAGTGTGTAGGATTGTGTTGTGTATAGGGTTCGTTACTATTTTTTTCGTTTGTAAAGAATAAATACAAGTTGAACAAATATAATTGTGCCAGATTAGTGCACAAAACCACCCCAGGTTATGGTGCGGTCCTGTGTGTGTGGGGTTCCCCTTGCTCCTGGCTGAGGCCCTGGATGCTGGGGCTCCTGGGGGCCTCTGCGATGGGGAGGCGGGCGGTGGTTACCTGGGAACTCGCTGCAGTCACCTGGAGTGTGAGCGGAGTGTGAGCAGAGCGATGGTGGGAATGAGGCCAGCCACAGAAAAACAAAAGAACAAACCAAAAGGTGAAAGTCTGAGGGCCCATGCACCAGAGGAGGCCCCACATGAGGCCCTAAACGAGGCCCCACACGAGGCCCCATGAGGATCAGAGCCAACTCCAACGCTTTAGTCCTAACCCTTTTCCAGAATGTCACTATGTTGAGGATCAGGATTAATCAGGACAAATGAATCACTTTAATGGCCTCGCACTGCTACAGCCACAAGAGAATATATTTATCACTTTTTAACATTAGTTTGCACACTTCCTGTCTTTTCTACACCCGGAGTGATTATATTTATGCCAAATGTGACATGTAAAGTCTATCTTCTCTCATTGACTTTGCAGAATAGATCAACCAGATCTGGAATCGAGTCTCTGTGTCAATGAGTGAACCAGGAAACAGACAACTCACACTGAACCCACAGGAGCCACATTCTCAGACGGCAACTGCATAGTAACCAAAGAGCCTATCAGGAGCGGGAATCATTTTTGGTACAAGATTATTGTGGAAATATTGTTTCGATGTGTTTCTCTACATCTGTCTTTACAATCTCAGCTTCATCAGTGAAATAAGGCTGGAATCATTGAATGGAAGAAGTATTATCATATATAGAAAAGTGTGTATGTATCTGTATTCAGTTCCTACAGAAAAACAACATCTAATTTCACTAGAAAAGACACACAAATAATCTATGGATCAATGGCCGGGGAAGTCTAAGCGCACACAGTGGGGGCAGGTCTCCCATCCAGTGGTTTGTCTGCTCAGCTTTAGCAACGTTCTCCTGACGCTGAGTTTTACTAAAACACTTGGATCTGATTTCATCCTGATGCTCTGGGGTCAGCAGGAAAACAAGCAGGAGTTTAAAGTAGGAGAGGACCAGAGGCTAGTGTGTGTCTACAAACACACACACACACACACAAACTGATATATACACACACACACACACACACTCACATACAGATACACACACACACACAAACTGATATACACACACACACTCACATACACACACACACACACACACACACACACACACACACTCACATACAGACACACACACACACACACACAAACTGATATACACACACACACACACACAAACTGATATACACACACACACTCACATACAGACACACAAACACACCCACACAAAAACTGATATACACACACACTGATAAACTCGCACACAAACACACACGTACTGATAAACTCATACATACGCACTGATACTCACACACACACACACACACAGACACACACACACTCAATAACTCACACACACACACAGACACACACACAGACACAGACACACAGACACACACACACACACACACACACTCACACAGACACACACACACACAGACACACACACTCACACACACACACACACACACAGTGTAGTACCGATCTGTCCTGTGGCGATGGTGTTCTTGAACTTGGGGTGTTGGTTGACGGTCAGACACAGGATGTCGTCTGTGTGTTCCTGGTAGAAGCTCTGAGTCCCTGCACCACAAAAACACACACAAACTATATATCCAAACTCCATAACTACATCATGGAGAAGGCCAAAACGGATGACGTACTCAGTGAATGTCTCAGGCAGTGGCGAGATGAGGAGCTGGAGGAGAGCCCATCATGGGAGAACAAGCCCCTACACGGCATGTACCACCGGAGCATAACAGAAGTAGCTGATCTCAAGAAGTCCTACCAATGGCTAGAAAGGGCTGGCCTACAGGACAGCACAGAGGCACTCATCATGGCTGCACAGGAGCAGGCCCTGAGCACCAGAGCGATAGAGGCCCAGATATACCACACCAGACAAGACCCAAGGTGTCGGTTGTGCAAAGAGGCACCTGAGACGATCCAACACATAACTGCAGGGTGCAAGATGCTGCAGGGAAGGCCTACATGGAACGCCATAACCAAGTGGCTGCATAGTGTACAGAAACATCTGTGCAGAGTATGGGCTGGAAACCCCAAGGTCTAAGTGGGAAACTCCTCCAAAGGTGGTGGAGAATGAGAAGATCCTGTGGGACTTCCAGATACAGACCGACCGAATGGTAATGAACCAACCTGACATCGTGGTGGTGGACAAAGGGCAGAGGACAGCCGTGGTGGTGGACAAAGGGCAGAGGACAGCCGTGGTGGTAGACAAAGGGCCGAGGACAGCCGTGGTGGTGGACAAAGGGCCGAGGACAGCCGTGGTGGTGGACAAAGGGCAGAGGACAGCCGTGGTGGTGGACGTGGCAATTCCAAGCGATGGTAACATCCGGAAAAAATACCAAGGTCTCAGAGAGGAGCTGGAGAGGGCCTGGAGGGTAAAGGTCACAGTAGTGCCCGTGGTGATCGGTGCACTCGGGGCAGTGACCCCGAAGCTAGAAGAGGTTACAGCAGATCCCTGGAACAACCTCGGACATCTCAGTCCAGAAATGTGCAGTGCTAGGAACAGCAAAGATACTGTGCAGAACCCTCAAGCTCCCTGGCCTCTGGTAGAGGACCCAAACTTAGAGAGGGATAACCGCCCGCGGAGGGCCAAAGGTGAGTGGACAATTTTTTTTTTATATATATGCCGGTCACGACACACCAACCTACCAACCTATGCACAGCCTGGATTGATTACCAGAAAGCCTACGACTCAATGCCACACACATGGATCATGGAATGCTTGAAGTTGTACAATATCAACAGGGCTCTAAGGGACTTCGTTGCAAACTCGATGGGAATGTGGAAGACCACCCTTGAGGCAAATGGCCGCTCGCACAAGTGACCATCAAATGTGGTATCTACCAAGGAGATGCTCTGTCCCCACTACTGTTCTGCATAGGCCTCAACCCTCTAAGCCAAGTAATTGACCAGACTGGCCATGGATACCGCCTCAGGAACGGAGCAAAGATCAGTCACCTCCTCTACATGGATGACATCAAACTGTACGCCAAGAGCGAGAGAGACATCGACTCTCTGATCCAAACCACCAGGATCTACAGCCATGACATCGGGATGTCATTCGGACTCGAGAAATGTAGCAGGATGGTGACGCAGCGAGGCAAGGTAGTCCACACAGAAGGGATCTCACTCCCAGAGGGAACAATAGCAGACGTTGAGGACAGTTACAAGTATCTCGGTGTACCACAGGCAAATGGCAACCTCGAACAAGTGACGAGGAAAGCGGCAACTGCCAAATACCTCCAGCGAGTAAGGCAGGTCCTAAGAAGCCGGCTCAATGGCAAGAACAAGGCCCGGGCAATTAACAGCTACGCCCTGCCAGTGATCAGATACCCTGCAGGAATAATCAGGTGGCCAAAGGAAGAGATTCAGACCACGGATGTTAAAACTCGAAAGCTCCTTACCATGCATGGCGGGTTCCATCCCAAATCCAGTTCACTTTGGAGAGACCCAAGAGGGAAAATGCAGTTAGAAGTTTGTTGATTGAGTATGTTTGGCGCCCTAGGCCCGGGAGAGATGCTGATGAGTGCGGCGCTTGCTCGCGCGCATGATCCCCCCCCGGGGCCTAGGCACTGGTGACGGCAGAGGCAGTAGGCAAGCACGCTTCGATGAGAGAAGGAGGAGGTCGGGCGGCGGAGGCTTTGCAAACTTCAGAAGGCCGGGAAAGTGGGCGTCTCCGGCTTTTAACTTGCTGTCCTGGTGGTTATTGGTGGATTAGATGTGGGCGTTTTGCTGGTGTAATGAGTAGAGGATGAGCAGGCTTGTAGATCTGGCAGCAGTGGCCGGGTCTACCACAGTGAACTTTCGCGAAGAGCTTCATTTCACTTTGGAGAGACCCAAGAGGGAAAATGCAGTTAGAAGTTTGTTGATTGAGTATGTTTGGCGCCCTAGGCCCGGGAGAGATGCTGATGAGTGCGGCGCTTGCTCGCGCGCATGATCCCCAAAAACGGGCAGAGTTATCTTTGCGCGCCGGGACGTGAGCGCTCGCTTCACGATCAACCGGACGCTGCCTGGGACGTGAGCGCTCGCATCACGATCGATACCAGACGCTGTAGCAGAGTTATCTTTGAGCGCCGGGACGTGAGCGCTCGCATCACGATCAACCGGACGCTGTCTGGGACGTGAGCGCTCGCATCACGATCGATACCAGACGCTGTAGCAGAGTTATCTTTAAGCGCCGGGACGTGAGCGCTCGCTTCACGATCAACCGGACGCTGCCTGGGACGTGAGCGCTCGCATCACGATCGATACCAGACGCTGTAGCAGAGTTGTCTTTAAGCGCCGGGACGTGAGCGCTCGCTTCACGATCAACCGGACGCTGCCTGGGACGTGAGCGCTCGCATCACGATCGATACCAGACGCTGTAGCAGAGTTATCTTTGAGCGCCGGGACGTGAGCGCTCGCATCACGATCAACCGGACGCTGTCTGGGACGTGAGCGCTCGCATCACGATCGATACCAGACGCTGTAGCAGAGTTATCTTTAAGCGCCGGGACGTGAGCGCTCGCTTCACGATCAACCGGACGCTGTCTGGGACGTGAGCGCTCGCATCACGATCGATACCAGACGCTGTAGCAGAGTTGTCTTTAAGCGCCGGGACGGGAGCGCTCGCTTCACGATCAACCGGACGCTGTCTGGGACGTGAGCGCTCGCATCACGATCGGTACCAGACGCTGTAGCAGAGTTATCTTTAAGCGCCGGGACGTGAGCGCTCGCATCACGATCAACCGGACGCTGCAACAGGGTTATCTTTGAAGAAGTGCGTGCCGCCACCAGAATCTTATTGGTTCACTTACTTTGCTTTGTATTGCTTTTCTGGGAGCTTACGAGGAAGTCAGTAGACGTTGTGCAGCCAGGATAGCGGACGCGTCTGGCCTGATGTAGGTGGAGAAAGCCGAAGAGGACCAGCGCCCCAGCTGTTGCAACGAGGTGTGGGGGAGCCCCAGCGAGGCCGCGCGCGTGGCAGCGCCTATCCTGAAGGAGTGAGCTGTGTAGAGCTGGGGAGACAAATTACAGAGGAGCAGTAGGGATCTTAGCTGAGCTCTGAACCAGGTTGCTGTCATGGGAAGAATGTCTGGAGTGACAAATAGAGGTCCGTTAAGATCTCCTTTTTGCAGTGGAGGCGAGTGTAACGCATAAAGGATTTGTAGGGGCAGAGAGATGTGTCCGAGCGAGCTATTACTATATTGCAGGCTCCTTTGATTTTTGAATGTTTGAGACGGAGGTTGAAATGGTCAGGGGACATTATGTTGGGTGAAAGAGAGCGACCTTTGTGTAATGCTTCCACTACGTCGAGATTATCACACGTGACAGAGATCCTCTTTCTCTGCCACGTGTGATTCCACAGCGCGCAGCCACGACCACTGGGAATATCACGTGTAGGGCAGAGGAGATGCTCCGGTGGAAGTAGCGGCCACGGCCCGGCAACCCAATGGTCCTGGAAGAATCCCCCAAAACCCACGGAAGGGGCAGCGTCCGTGTAGAAGCGGAGACCTGTAGGGGCAGAGACATGTCGGAGAGGGCCATTGATGTTGCAGGCGCCCTTACGCTTGAAACCTTGGGTTGGAGAGTAGAAATCAGGATAGTAGGAAGGTCGGGAAAGCCGTGTCTCGGACCGCATGAAGGTTGAGTGAGCAATGGTGAAACGCTTACGCAGAGAATCCACAGAAGGAGAGCAGGAAGATGCTGCGAGGAGGGCGGACATGTACTTGGGAGATGAGCCGGAGTTCAGCGCCGCTGCAGGATGGGCAGCATGATGGGGAGCCTGCGATCGGAAGAGTGAAGAATACAGGTATGGATGCCTTTGATTAGGAGTCTGATTGACGGCTCAGCGCAGCTACTCGGCCAGCTGCATCTGATAGAATCAGAAGATTAAGTAGAGAGATGAAGCATGACCGCCGAAGCGACCCTGGGAGCATAGGTGCGAGTCCAGCGCAGCGCGGCATGCTCAGCCGGGCTGCGTCCATTAGAAGCAGGATAAGCTTCTGAGAGAGTGGGATGCAGCAGTAGCAGTAGCAGCAGCAACCTCAGATAATAACGGCAATAGTCCTGTATCAAGCCGCGACAGTAGCAGCAGCAGCAGCAGCAGCGTCCTTAGAAAATAACAGTAATAATTCTGTACCTAAGCCACAGCAGTAGAATGTTGTTGTAGCTGTTCAGTGTTTCAGTAAAAGAGATGCAAGTGAAGAGAGATGGCAAAGTAAATGAAGCAGCAGCAGCAGTAGTAGCAGCAGTAGCCGTATGAAGCAGCCGCAGTAGCAGTAGCAGTATGAAGCAGCAGGAGCAGTAGCGGCAGCAGCAGCTGCAGCATCCGTAGATAATAACAGCAATAATCCTGTATCAAAGCCAGAGCAGTAGAATATTATTGTAGCTGTTTAGCGTTTCAGTAAAAGAGATGTGAAGTGAAGAGAGATGTCAAAGTACATGAAGCAGCAGCAGCACGGCAGCAGTAGCAGTATGAAGCAGCAGCGGCAGCAGTAGCAGCAGTAACGGTAGCAGTATGAAGCAGCAGAAGCAGCATTAGCAGGAGCAGCAGTAGCAGTATGAAGCAGCAGCAGTAGCAGCAGTATGAGGCAGCAGCAGCGGTTGCAGCATCCGTAGACAATAACAGCAATAATCCTGTATCAAAGCCACAGCAGTAGAATATTGTTGAAGCTGTTTAGTGTTTCAGTAAAAGAGATGCGAAGTGAAGAGAGGTGTCAAAGTAAAGAAGCAGCAGCAGCACGGCAGCAGTAGCAGTATGAAGCAGCAGCGGCAGCAATAGCAGCATTAGCGGCAGCAGTAGCAGCAATAGCGGTAGCAGTATGAAGCAGCAGAAGCAGCATTAGCAGGAGCAGTAGCACCACAATGCGATTCATACGAACAACAGACGTGTCACGCCAGCGTGCGCCGCTTGTCTCCGTGAGCCAGGTTACATACGTGTCTGAAAGAGCCAAGCCGTAGAGACAGGTGCCGCCCGGGAGCCCGCGGAGCAGCAGCGGCACATGTAGTAGTAGGAGCAGCAGGAGCAGGCAGCAGGGACAGGCAGCAGCAGGAGCGGCAGCAGGAACAGGCAGCAGCGGGAACAGGCATCAGCGGGATCAGGCATCAGTAGGAACGGCAGCAGGGACCGCAGCAGCGGCGGTCAGAGAACCATGCCCACGGTTGTTTAAGAGCCTGAGGAAATAAATCAACCCGAATCCGAAACATTCCCATGCGAATAACAGATGTCCCCTGGAGCCATCTTGCTGCTTTGGTTATGGCAGATACGCATGAACCATCACTTTTCCATGCGTTCATAGCTCCAACTCCACTTCAAACCCATTGCATATTCACATTGGGCCCCTTTTCTTTCTGCTGCACTTTCGAAATGCAACAACTGCAGTTTAGTTACCCAATTTAATACTAGTGACCTAGCTATTTAAATGCATGGCCCCTCCTTCCTCCTGCAGATAGACGAATTTAAATACATTCATTTAACAAAAGTGACCTGCGAGTAATGAGATTAATGCTGTAAAAAATGGCGCCGTGGCAAGAGTTCTGGTGTGTGCCGTCTGGAGCACGATGGGTAGTCTTTGCACATTTTTTCCAACGTGGTTTTACTGCAAGTGGCAGAACATGAATCTGAATTAATGCACATTGCTCCTCTTATACCCCTCAGACATTGGAGATTGATGCCATTTAAGATGCATTGTCCCTCAGTTAGCTCAACACGTGTAAAACGGAGCCTGCAACCAAGCACGGGGCAAAAACTGACGCCTGCAGTCAATTGCGTAGGGCAAAAACCAGTCGCCTGCAGCCTAGACTCCGGGATTAATCTGTCCGCGGTCGGCACACTCACTGTACTCACATGCCAGGAGACTTGGGAAAGCAACGGGACAACGCGGCACCGCCAATCGGAGGCAGGGACACGCACGGCACCAGCAGACCACGAGGAACGAGCAGCACAGAAACCGCGGAGGGGCCCCGCGGAGCAGCCCGCAGAAGAGCCCGCAGAGGAGGAGAGCAGACCACGAGCAGCCAGACTGAGGACAGCAGGGCCACGCGCACGAGCAACACGTGAGCAGAAGCGACCCCTCCAGATCCAGAACAACGCATGTATTTGCGAACAGGTGCGTTAGCGACATGCACCTTGCAGGCTTCAGAAGTTTGCAGACTTCAGAAGACCGGGAAGTGGGCGTCTCCGGCTTTTAACTTGCTGTCCTGGTGGTTATTGGTGGATTAGATGTGGGCGTTTTGCTGGTGTAATGAGTAGAGGATGAGCAGGCTTGTAGATCTGGCAGCAGTGGCCGGGTCTACCACAGTGAACTTTCGCGAAGAGCTTCATGATAAACTTGATTTAAGGCTAATAATGTGTGACAGGCATAGTACTGTTAGTCACATGATGCCAAAATAAAGTGTATAATACAGTTTGCTCCATCTGTTGTACTGTAGTGTGCAGTATGCTTATCGTTGATGTGTGTACTATCTATATGTATTTCACATTTCTTCTAGTTCAGCAACACTTGAGTTGAAAATGAATTATATGCAGTAGTTTACGACAATGTATTAGTGTTTTACCAGTTCATATTTTCCGTTCTATAACTGTAATTACTGTATCCCCAGAGCCTCCATGCTGCTCGATGTGCTACAACTGTATGGTCCAGATGTAAACATACAACTGTATATGTCTTTCTCTAGATTATACAGGGCCCACGTGGATTCCTGCTGCAGGACCCTTCGGAGGAGGCGAGGAAGATCAGGGACGAAACCGTCCATGACGGAGTGCGGTGCTCCTCTGAGGGAGGAGGTGGTGAGGGAGAACGCCTCACTCTGGTTCGAGTGAGAGGAGGTGATGCCTCAGACAGGCAGAAGTGCTGGGGGAGTACATCGCTCACAGCATGCAGTAGGACCAGCACAGCGCCTGTTGTCACCAATGCCCCCTGCAGCAGTGAACCCCCTCCTCCTGCTCAGACCATGTCACCAGCGTCTGAGGAGGCCATAGAGAGGTTGGCAGCGATCTTGGAAAAGCAGCCAGCACCTCCAGCAAATAAACCCACACAAAGAAATGCCTGCCTTTGGCCACCAAAATCCAAATATGAGGCGATGGCAGCTCCATCCACGAGTTTTACCAGCCGGGTCCTACCAGGTATTTCAATTGCTCCACCAAGTTCTATAACACCTCATCGCACAAGGGTTTGACCAACTCAGGATGCCATTCCGTGACTTATGGACACTGAGGTCTGCCAGAGAGAGCTGGAGGCCAACGCAGCAGAGATTGAATGAGCGGCAGGAAGAAGAATAGGAAGAGAGTATGAGTCTTCCTGCCACTGGAAAAGTGCGGGTTCTGAAAACTGACTGAAGCAGGGACCAAAACAGTCCACACATCATACACTAGTTCCCAGGTCGTCAGGAATATAACATCACTGCCCTGCCAAATATTCTCCTGTTACAAGGACCAGGGAGGAGACGGCAGATGACTGGGACCAGTTCCAGCAGTCTCCTTTTTATGACCGGGAGAGGAAAGGTGCGTGTAAATAAATGAGCTATCTGCCTGTCTAATGTGCTGTTGTATATTGTTACTATATTATACCTGTATGTTCATAAATGTTTATAAATATTCGAATTATTAATGTAAATATATAACTTCATATTGATTATATCTAATTATATCATTTCATTTGTAAAGTTCTGCATCTACAGTTCTGTAGAGTCACTCTCAGCCGTCAGTCAGTAAAGGGGGGGGGATGAGGGGGGCTCATCACACAAAAACGAGTTTAAGAAGATAAGATAGCTTGTTGTTTGTTTTTTCTTCTAGGTGTATTTCTTAAATTTGTAATTATCTCGTTTTTCATCTGTACAATAAAAATATTATAATGTCATACATTATTGAAGTCTTTCCTTTTATTGATCATATTTCAGGCAAACAACAGTAATTATTTAACAAAACTATCTGTATTGAAAATAGAGTTTCAGTTCATGTCAGTGGATCAAAGCAGCTATTGTTGAACTGTTCAAAGCACCCCCTGCTTGAGTTCTCACCTCTGGGATATTCCAGGTGTGTTGCTAAATCCCTTGATCAAACACTTTTCCCATCCTGAGGATGGTGTGAACCTTAACCTGTGTGTGAGGCCTTTGGATAAGCCCCGATCTTCAACACTCACACTTTGTGCAGGTCTAAAGGTTTTCATGACATTGCTGTTTATAATTACTGTCAAATTCACTGATCATTTCAAGGGGTTTTTTACATTTCAAAGAAGCGATACACCACAATAAACTTTCTAACAGTTTTTACAAGGACAGCTTTATAAAGGAAAGAGCAGTGCCCAAAGAGCTTCTGACGCAGCCCCAGGTTCTGTGCGGAGATGCATTTATGGATTGGGAACGTCATCTTTCTGAGACCCCAGCTTTTTATAAACACTCCAGGTTTTCTTAGATTTTCACTTACTCAAAAATCAATGAAGGCTAGTTTTTTTGTATAGCACAGTTCATACACAGGGCAACCCAGAATGATTAACAAAACACAAACGATGAAGCCGTTAAAATCATGACAAATCACAGAACAGTAAAAAAGATAAAATCCTTCAGTTGTTGAAGCGAAAATGTCAGAGTAGAAGCCTGTCTCACATTTTCAGGAAGACTTTAGTTTGATTGAGACCTGGTGTGACAGACCTGGGACAGTCGGTGTGACCCCCTGTATCTCTGCAGGGGGAGGCCTCACATTCCGGCGCGGGGCCTTCCGGTCCGTGGGACGTCCTGAGACCATGATGTCGGTCTGCTACGGCCGCACTGACGCCGTGGTGTTCTCTGGAGCCGCCACCGGAGACGTTTACATCTGGAAGGACGCGCTGCTGCTCAAGACCGTCAAGGCCCACGACGGCCCCGTGTTCGCCATGTTCTCCCTGGACAAGGTGACATCATAGGCTCTAGGGCGGGGCTAACTCATTATGGACAAGGTGACATCACAGGCTTTAGGGCGGGGTTAACTGATTATGGACAAGGTGACATCACAGGCTTTAAGAGATAAGATAAGATAAACCTTTATTAGTCTCACAGTGGAGAAATTCCAGTGTCATCGTTGCCCATTACAGCAGAGAAAGGAAATAAGAGCACTCTCTAGGGCGGGGCTAACTCATGGACAAGGTGACATCACAGCCTCTAGGGCGGGGCTAACTCATTATGGACATGGTGACATCACAACCTCTAGGGCGGGGCTAACTCATTATGGACAAGGTGACATCACAGCCTCTAGGGCGGGGCTAACTCATTATGGACAGGGTGACATCATAGGCTTTAGGGCGGGGCTAACTCATGGACAAGGTGACATCACAGGCTCTAGTGCTATTAGATACAGGACAAACTGCTTCAAGCTTTTCTTTGTCCCAATCAGATTCATTTTTATTGTCATTGTGAATAACAGGAAGTCACAAAAGGGGCCCTGTTAGACACAAAGGAGAGGAGAGTAGGGCCAAGTAGGGCTGGTGGAAACGTGACTTTTGGTATTTTATATATCTTTCTCATTCTATTTCCTCCTGTGTTACTCTCAGATACTTGGGTTTAAGAAGATATGCAGTTTGGACTTGAATGTAAAAACATAAGTTTATTAAATGTACCATCTTCAACATGTGCTCTGTGAGGTCCTGGACAGATTCTTCTTCTGCTGCAGCCTCAGACTGTTGTGTTTGTCTCGTCAGGGTTTTGTGACCGGAGGAAAGGACGGCGTGGTGGAGCTCTGGGACGACATGTTTGACCGCTGTCTGAAGACGTACGCCATCAAGAGGGCGGCGCTGTCCCCCGGGTCCAAAGGTACTGACCGCTATGACCCGGTCCACAGGTGACCCGGTCCACGGGGAACCAGTCCACAGGTGACGTGGTCCACTGGTGATGTGGTCCACAGTTGATCCGGTCCATCGGTGACCCGGTCCAAAAACAACATGTACTTTTCCAACATCACAGCTTTGCCACATCTCGTCAGACCTCTGAAGCTCAGTAGGGAAGGGCCTGGTTAGTACTGTGATGGGAGACCTATGGAAACACCAGGTGCCAGAGTGGGGCGGCTGTAAAGTGCCAAACTGTGGTTATGTCCTTGGGCAAGACACTTCCCCCACAATACCATAATAATAACATACATTGTCATTAGTGAAGTATTCTGCATCTCATGTAGACAGGCGACTGTGGTGAATGAATGTAGAGTAGTACTGCCCTCTGGTGGAGGAGCACTGCACATGCACTCCCCCCACACCATGTTTGCACTAACTATAGATACTCTGTGTCCCTGTGGCTGCAGGGCTGCTGCTGGAGGACAACCCCTCCATCAGAGCCATCACTCTGGGACACGGACACATCCTGGTGGGGACCAAGAACGGAGAGGTCCTGGAGATCGACAAGACGGGCCCCATGACTCTGCTGGTCCAGGTAACAGTCAGAGAGCACATGGTACTACATGGTACTAGATGGTTCTACATGGTACTACATGGTTCTACATGTTACTACATGGTTCTACATGGTACTACATGTTACTACATGTTACTACATGGTTCTACATGGTACTACATGTTACTACATGGTTCTACATGGTACTACATGTTACTACATGGTTCTACATGGTACTACATGTTACTACATGGTTCTACATGGTACTACATGGTTCTACATGGTACTACATGGTTCTACATGGTACTACATGGTTCTACGTGTTACTACATGGTTCTACATGGTACTACATGGTTCTACATGGTACTACATGGTACTACGTGGTACTACATGGTACTACATTGTACTACATGGTTCTACATGGTACTACATGGTACTACGTGGTACTACATGGTACTACATGGTAGTACATGGTACTACATGGTTCTACATGGTACTACGTGGTACTACGTGGTACTACATGGTACTACATGGTAGTACATGGTAGTACATGGTAGTACATGGTAGTACATGGTACTACATGGTAGTACATGATACTACATGGTTCTACATGGTACTACGTGGTACTACATGGTACAACATGGTAGTACATGGTAGTACATGGTACTACATGGTAGTACATGGTAGTACATGGTACTACATGGTACTACATGGTAGTACATGGTAGTACATGGTACTACATGGTAGTACATGGTACTGCATGGTTCTACATGGTACTACATGGTACTACATGGTACTACATGGTACTACATGGTACTACATGGTACTACATGGTAGTACATGGTACTACATGGTACTACATGGTTCTACATGGTACTACATGGTACTACATGGTACTACATGGTAGTACATGGTAGTACATGGTACTACATGGTAGTACATGGTAGTACATGGTACTACATGGTACTACATGGTAGTACATGGTAGTACATGGTACTACATGGTAGTACATGGTACTGCATGGTTCTACATGGTACTACATGGTACTACATGGTACTACATGGTACTACATGGTACTACATGGTACTACATGGTAGTACATGGTACTACATGGTTCTACATGGTTCTACATGGTACTACATGGTACTACATGGTACTACATGGTAGTACATGGTAGTACATGGTAGTACATGGTACTACATGGTAGTACATGGTAGTACATGGTACTACATGGTTCTACATGGTACTACATGGTACTACATGGTACTACATGGTACTACATGGTACTACATGGTAGTACATGGTACTACATGGTTCGACATGGTTCGACATGGTACTACATGGTACTACATGGTACTACATGGTACTACATGGTACTACATGGTTCTACATGGTTCTACATGGTACTACATGGTACTACATGGTACTACATGGTTCTACATGGTACTACATGGTACTACATGGTACTACATGGTACTACATGGTACTACATGGTTCTACATTGTACTACATGGTACTACATGGTACTACATGGTAGTACATGGTACTACATGGTTCTACATGGTTCTACATGGTACTACATGGTACTATATGGTACTACATGGTAGTACATGGTAGTACATGGTACTACATGGTAGTACATGGTAGTACATGGTACTACATGGTACTACATGGTAGTACATGGTAGTACATGGTACTACATGGTAGTACATGGTACTGCATGGTTCTACATGGTACTACATGGTACTACATGGTACTACATGGTACTACATGGTACTACATGGTACTACATGGTAGTACATGGTACTACATGGTTCTACATGGTTCTACATGGTACTACATGGTACTACATGGTACTACATGGTAGTACATGGTAGTACATGGTAGTACATGGTACTACATGGTAGTACATGGTAGTACATGGTACTACATGGTTCTACATGGTACTACATGGTACTACATGGTACTACATGGTACTACATGGTACTACATGGTAGTACATGGTACTACATGGTTCTACATGGTTCTACATGGTACTACATGGTACTACATGGTAGTACATGGTACTACATGGTTCTACATGGTTCTACATGGTACTACATGGTACTACATGGTACTACATGGTTCTACATGGTACTACATGGTACTACATGGTACTACATGGTACTACATGGTACTACATGGTTCTACATTGTACTACATGGTACTACATGGTTCTACATGGTACTACATGGTTCTACATGGTACTACATGGTTCTACATGGTACTACATGGTACTACATGGTACTACATGGTTCTACATGGTACTACGTGGTACTACGTGGTACTACATGGTACTACATGGTACTACATGGTACTACATGGTTCTACATGGTTCTACATGGTACTACATGGTTCTACATGGTACTACATGGTACTACATGGTACTACATGGTACTACATGGTACTACATGGTACTACATGGTTCTACATGGTACTACATGGTACTACATGGTTCTACATGGTACTACATGGTTCTACATGGTACTACATGGTTCTACATGGTACTACATGGTACTACGTGGTACTACATGGTACTACGTGGTACTACATGGCTCTACAGCCTCATCTAAAACTCAAGTGAACACTGTCAGACTGTAGCACAAACACACCCTACACTGTTGGACCTCTGAAGAACAGCACCTGCTTTACTGCGATGTTGAGGTTCACACTAGAACTGCCAGAGCAGTCAAATTGACGGCTTTTACTTTTGGAAGTTTAACGACTCATCTCATGTGCATTCTTGGTCTTCATAACTTTGAATGTGACTTTTTCTGTGTGTGTCACTGTGTGTGTGTGTGTGTCTATGTGGTGTGTGTGTGTATCATGTGTGTGTGTGTGTGTCCAGGGCCACATGGAGGGGGAGGTGTGGGGTCTCTGTCCTCACCCTCTGCTCCCGATCTGTGCCACCGTGAGCGACGACAAGACTCTGCGTCTGTGGGAGACGTCTGCGAACCACCGCATGGTCGCGGTGCGCAAGCTCAAGAGAGGTGCGGACACGGGTGTAGTCTGCACGCCTACACTTCCACCTGTTCATACACGGGTGTAGTCTGCACGCCTACACTTCCACCTGTTCATACACGGGTGTAGTCTGCACGCCTACACTTCCACCTGTTCATGCACGGGTGTAGTCTGCACCATATTATGTTATATAATATGTTAGAATATGATATGGTTCGGGCTGAGGTAAAGTGAATGTTGTGAACATGTGTTTATGATCTCAAAGACTACTTTGACACAGACACATTTCAATTTGGAGAGACGAGAAAACAGGAAGTTTTGAGTATTTTATTGAAAGGAGGTTTGGCGCCCTAGGTCCCGGTGCGGCCTTCAGATCGGAAAGGCTCCTGCGATGGAGCGCGCACAATCCCCCGGGACCTAGGCACTGATGGCGGCATTTGGCAGCGGGAAGCAGATTGAAGGCAGATTGGAGGCAGATTGGAGGCAGGGTGAAGAGGAGGAGGAGGGGAGGCGGTGGTTGCGAGGCTTCAGAGGCCGGTAGTGGGAGTTTCTCCGTTTTTATGCGGCTGGCGAGTCGGTACAGATGATTGGAAGGGGGCGTCTGCTGAGCGATAGGCTGGGGATGAGAGCCGGCCTGGAGGGGGTAATTTTGGTTAACGTCTACCAAATTGAATTTTCGCTGGCTGCATTTCAATTTGGAGAGACGAGAAAACAGGAAGTTTTGAGTATTTTATTGAAAGGAGGTTTGGCGCCCTAGGTCCCAGTGCGGCCTTCAGATCGGAAAGGCTCCTGCGATGGAGCGCGCACAATCCCCAAAAAGGCTGCGTGTTGATGGAGTCTTCGAAGCCTGGTTTGGAGGGGACAGACGTCGTGACTACTCTATTCTGTGACCGCTATCGCTAAGCTGTGACCGCTATCGCTATATGCTGTGACCGCTATCGCTATATGCTGTGACCGCTATCGCTATATGCTGTGACCGCTATCGCTATATGCTGTGACCGCTATCGCTATATGCTGTGACCGCTATCGCTATATGCTGTGACCGCTATCGCTATATGCTGTGACCGCTATCGCTATATGCTGTGACCGCTATCTACTGTGATCAATACTTGCGGATACTCGGCTGCTGCCGCCACCAGGAAGTTTTGTGAGTGATTTATGGAGATGCCAAGAGGCGCTGGGCTGTCAGAATGGTCGAAGTGTCAGGCCTGATGTATGAGGAGAGGGCCGATGATGACCAGCGGCCCAGCTGCTGGAGGGCAGAATGGGGGAGTCCTAGGGACGCGGCGCGCGTGGCGGCGCCTATCCGGAAGGAGTGCGCTGTGTAGAGATGGGGAGACAATTACAAAGCAGCAGTACGGACTTTAGTTGGGCCCTGAACCAGTTAGATGTCATTGGGAGGTGATCGGGGGTGAGAAATAACGGTCCGTTGAGATCTCCTTTCCGAGAGCGGAGGCGAGTGTAATGCATCATGGATCTGTAGGGACAGGGAGAAGTGTCAGACCGAGCTATGACTATATTGCAAGCGCCTTTGCGTTTGGAATGCTTGAGGTGGAGGTTGAAGTAGTCGGGATAATATGACAGGTCAGAGAAGGCAATGTCTCGGGATGCATTAAAGGTGGCGTGAGAGTTTGTGAATTCGCTTATGCGTAAGAAGCCCATTTTCATGTAGGATGCAGCGGAGGAGAGAAGGTGAAGAGACGGAGGGACTAGACCAGGGCGAGGGATTCCGTGCAGGGGATCTGGCATGGCGATGGATTGGCAGAAGGGCAGAGGCGTCAGAACTCCTGGAATTTAAAGCGAGAGAGAGAGTCAGCAATACAGTTAGGTGACGAGGGACGTGACGAACAGTGATGATAAATTGTTCGAGACTGAGAGCCATGTGATGCGTCTAAGGAGGATGTGATTTGGGGAGAGGATGAACGACTTCTGTTAATTATTTCGATGACGTCGAGGTTGTCGCACGTCACGGAAATCCTTTTCCTATGCCACGTATGGTTCCGCAGCACGCAGGCTCCGGTCACGGGATATATCTCGTGGAGCGCGGAGGAGATGCTTCGAGGGAAAGCGTCGGGCCGGGGCCCGGCGAGCCACTGGTCCTGGAAAACCCCCAAAACCCACGGACGGGGCTGCGTCCGTGAAGAACCGCGGGGCATCTGAGACAGGATGATGTCACTGTAAAAAAAAAAAAGAGATACACCGTCCCAGCGGCTCTGCAAACGGGACCGGAACGCCAGGTCGGAGCAGCGCCCCGCGTCCGGGCAGACGCGTCATCGAGGGAGGAGACGGAGCCGGCGAGGGAAAGGAGTCTGGAATTAAAAGAACGACCTTGGGGAATGATACAGACGGCATAATGAAGATGCCCGAGGAGGGAGAGCAAGGACGCCTCGAAGTGACGGGAAGGCCAAGGCAGACCGGGAGAAAGCGCGGATGCGTTCGAGCTTGTCCAGCGGGAGGGAGGCCTCCATGGCGCGTGTGTCGAGGCGGATGCCGAGAAACTCCAGAGCGTTGGCGGGGCCTGTGGTCTTTCCGGAGTGGAGGAATCCGAGGGCAGAGAAGGCGAGCCTGAGCTTGCGGAGAGAGCCCCCGGAGCAGTCTGAGGGTGGGTCGACTATGAGGGAATCATCGGGGAGATGCAGACAGAGGGGAGCCGCGCGAAATTAAGCAGAATCCGACACGGCGCCTCCGAGAGATTGTTGAACGAGAGGGACTACTCCGGCAGTCAAAGGTGAGGCGCACTGCGAAGAAGAACTCCGACGCCACTTGACCCCTGAACAGCGCCAGTGGTCGGGGTGGAAGGCAGCAGCTTGAACGCGACCGGGATGACGGCCTTGGAGAGCCAGGAGCCGGGGCCGAAAGTCTTTATCAGCCTGATCGCGTGGTCCACGGTAGCGGACTGCAGGGAGAAGGGCGCTGGAGGGAAGGGGCTGTTGATGCTCGGGCGGGCCCGGAGCGGGGACAGGAGAGGACGAGTATGAGACGCTTCTTCCTGGAGTGCTTGCGGGTGGCGATGCCCATCGGGTTAGAGCGAGACGGAGAGAAGGGGCCAATGACGTAGCCCACGGACACCTCCCGCGCCCGAGCCGCGTGCCGACTTGGGGCTCACGGAGAGCCGGGAAGAGGTTGCGGGACACGAGACGCCGAGGGACCTAAACAGAGCCTGCAGTCTAATGTGAGGGATTTAAATAGAGCTTGCAGTCCAAAGTGAGGTATTAAAACTGAGCCCGCAGTCCAAGTGAGGCGTTTAACGGATAGCCTGCAGTCCGGTGCGAGGGAGTTAAACGATGGGAGGGATCCAACAGAGCCTGCAGTTTTTTATTTTTTATTTATTTATTTATATTTATTTATATTTATATTTATTCATATTTATATTTATTTATTTATATTTATTTATTTTTATATATAAGCGTTCCAGATATAAGCAGTACCATATATGCAGTTCCAATATGAGCAGTTCCATATAAGCAGTTCCGTATACAAGCCGTTCCATATATAAGCAGTTCCATATATAGCAGTTCCATATATAGCAGTCCCATGTATAAGCAGTTCCGCATGAAGCAGTTCCAGGTACGGTATAACAGCTCCAGATATAGCAGTTCCAGATATAAGCAGTTCCGTGCGGGATTAACCTGAGAGCTCGCAGTCCAATGTGAGGGATTCAATTTGGGAGCCGCAGTCCAGAGGGATTTAAACGGGGCTTGCAGTCCAAAGAGAGGGATTTAAACAGAGCTCGCAGTCCAGAGAGGGATTTAAAGAGAGCCTGCAGGCCAAAGTGAGGGATTAAAACTGAGAGCACGCAGTCCAATGTGAGGGATTAAACTGAGATCTTGCGGTCCAATGTGAGGAATAACGGAGCTTGCAGTCAGAGTGAAGGATTTAAACGGAGCTTGGTTAAGAGAGCCTGCAGAACAATGCGAGGGCTTTAAACTGAAGCTTGCCCACCAATGCGAGGGGCGAACTGAGCCTGCAGTACAATGCGAGGGGAATAAACCGTCCGCAGATCTCATACTTACCCACAACGCCAGAAGACAAGGGACAACACAACGGGACCACGCCGTACCGGCACGAGGAGGCAGGGATGCGCACAGCTCCCACCGCACCGGGCCAGACCGGCCGTATGCAGCAGCAGGCCGCGACGAGACGAGCAGCGGCGAACCCGCAGAAAGAGCCCGCAAAGGAGGAGAGCGGCAAAGACCCACGGACCACAGCACGAGACCCGCAGCAGGTGCAGCGACGCGGAGGAGGAGCGGACCACACGCAGCAAGACAGAGGACAGCAGGGACACGCACGAGTAAGCGTGAGACAAGCGATTCCTCCAGAACGATTCATGCAAGGCTTCAGAGGCCGAGAGTGGGAGTTTCTCCGCTTTTATGCGGCTGGCGTAGTCGGTACAGATGATTGGAAGGGGGCGTCTGCTGAGCGATAGGCTGGGGATGCGAGCCGGCCTGGAGGGGGTAATTTTGGTTAACGTCTACCAAATTGAATTTTCGCTGGCTGCATTTGTCCCGAGTAGTTTGGACTTGCACAAGCCCGGCTGCAGATGGTGATGCTCTGCTGGGTCAGGACCAGCCCTGCAGCCTTTGACCTTTACTACATGTGTTACTGGTAGACCCTCAGAAAGGCCATGATCCTACCAGGACCTCCTCACAGAGAGGCGAGAGGGCTAACCACTCAGCCACCATGAGTTAGTTGTACCAAAGAATCCTGGTCCTCATTCGCTGCCCTCTCTGTGGCCCATGATTCAGTTTGGCTCCTGAATAGACGGAGGATCAGAGTGTGTTGTGTGCAGGAGGCCGCTGCTGTGCCTTCTCCCCCGATGGGAAGGCTCTGGCCGTGGGGCTGAACGACGGAGGAGTGTTGGTGGTCAACGCAGACACTCTGGAAGACCTCATCAGCTTCCATCACCGCCGAGACGCCATCTCTGACGTCCGCTTCAGCCCAGGTACCACCGCACAGGGTCAGGGTCTGCAGTGTGGCTGTACCTGTGCTCATGTACCTGTGCTCATGTACCTGTGCTCATGTACCTGTGTCTCATGTACCTGTGCCTCATGTACCTGTGCTCATGTACCTGTGGCTCATGTACCTGTGGCTCATGTACCCGTGCTCACGTACCTGTGGCTCATGTACCTGTGCTCACGTACCTGTGGCTCATGTACCCGTGCTCACGTACCTGTGGCTCATGTACCTGTGCTCACGTACCTGTGGCTCATGTACCTGTGCTCACGTACCTGTGCTCACGTACCTGTGGCTCATGTACCTGTGCTCACGTACCTGTGGCTCATGTACCCGTGCTCACGTACCTGTGGCTCATGTACCTGTGCTCACGTACCTGTGCTCACGTACCTGTGGCTCATGTACCTGTGCTCATGTACCTGTGCTCACGTACCTGTGGCTCATGTACCCGTGCTCACGTACCTGTGGCTCACGTACCTGTGGCTCATGTACCTGTGCTCACGTACCTGTGCTCACGTACCTGTGGCTCATGTACCTGTGGCTCATGTACCTGTGGCTCATGTACCCGTGCTCACGTACCTGTGGCTCACGTACCTGTGGCTCATGTACCTGTGCTCACGTACCTGTGCTCACGTACCTGTGGCTCATGTACCTGTGGCTCATGTACCTGTGGCTCATGTACCTGTGCTCATGTACCTGTGCTCTTGTACCTGTGTGTCTCTTCCCGCAGACGTGGGGAAGTACCTGGCAGTGGCCTCTCATGACAGTTTCGTGGACATCTACAACGTCCTGAGCAGTAAACGAGTGGGAACCTGCAAAGGAGCCTCCAGCTACATCACACACATCGACTGGGACGTCCGAGGTTAGGGTCTGCAGTGGGGCTGTACCTGTGCTCATGTACCTGTGCTCATGTACCTGTGCTCATGTACCTGTGCTCATGTACCTGTGCTCATGTACCTGTGCTCATGTACCTGTGCTCATGTACCTGTGCTCATGTACCTGTTCTCATGTACCTGTGCTCATGTACCTGTGCTCATGTACCTGTTCTCATGTACCTCTACTCTGTCCTCTCTCCTCTCTCCTCTGTCCTCTGTCCTCTCTCCTCTGTCCTCTGTCCTCTCTCCTCTCTCCTCTGTCCTCTCTCCTCTGTCCTCTGTCCTCTGTCCTCTCTCCTCTGTCCTCTCTCCTCTCTCCTCTGTCCTCTGTCCTCTGTCCTCTCTCCTCTGTCCTCTGTCCTCTCTCCTCTCTCCTCTGTCCTCTGTCCTCTGTACTCTCTCCTCTCTCCTCTGTCCTCTCTCCTCTGTCCTCTGTCCTCTCTCCTCTCTCCTCTGTCCTCTCTCCTCTGTCCTCTGTCCTCTGTCCTCTCTCCTCTGTCCTCTCTCCTCTGTCCTCTGTCCTCTGTCCTCTCTCCTCTCTCCTCTCTCCTCTGTCCTCTCTCCTCTGTCCTCTCTCCTCTGTCCTCTCTCCTCTGTCCTCTCTCCTCTCTCCTCTGTCCTCTCTCCTCTGTCCTCTCTCCTCTGTCCTCTCTCCTCTCTCCTCTGTCCTCTCTCCTCTGTCCTCTGTCCTCCGTCCTCTGTCCTCTCTCCTCTCTCCTCTCTCCTCTGTCCTCTCTCCTCTGTCCTCTCTCCTCTGTCCTCTCTCCTCTGTCCTCTCTCCTCTGTCCTCTCTCCTCTGTCCTCTCTCCTCTCTCCTCTGTCCTCTCTCCTCTGTCCTCTCTCCTCTGTCCTCTCTCCTCTCTCCTCTGTCCTCTCTCCTCTGTCCTCTGTCCTCTCTCCTCTGTCCTCTGTCCTCTGTCCTCTGTCCTCTGTCCTCTCTCCTCTCTCCTCTGTCCTCTCTCCTCTGTCCTCTGTCCTCTCTCCTCTGTCGTCTCTCCTCTCTCCTCTGTCCTCTCTCCTCTGTCCTCTGTCCTCTCTCCTCTGTCCTCTGTCCTCTGTCCTCTGTCCTCTCTCCCAGACTAAGTCAGAGGACTAGACTTCAGAACATTTCACTGAAATATAGTTTAACATAAACAGAAGAATCAGTGTCAGTCCAAGACAACAGACACATGTATGTGCGTGTGTGTGAGTAACATACACAGACACATGTATGTGCGTGTGTGTGAGTAACATACACAGACACATGTATGTGCGTGTGTGTGAGTAACATACACAGACACATGTATGTGCGTGTGTGTGAGTAACATACACAGACACATGTATGTGCGTGTGTGTGAGTCACAGACACAGACACATGTATGTGCGTGTGTGTGAGTCACAGACACATGTATGTGCGTGTGTGTGAGTCACAGACACATGTATGTGCGTGTGTGTGAGTCACAGACACAGACACATGTATGTGCGTGTGTGTGAGTCACAGACACATGTATGTGCGTGTGTGTGAGTCACAGACACAGACACATGTATGTGCGTGTGTGTGAGTCACATGAGAACTGGAGGAAGTTAAAGGAGAACGTTTTGTTCCATGTTTCAGGAAAACTGCTGCAGGTGAACTCTGGAGCCAAAGAACAGCTCTTCTTTGAGGCTCCGAGAGGAAAGAGACAAACCATCCGCACTGCAGAGGTGTGTGTCTGTGTGTCTGTGTGTGTGTCTCTGTGACTGTGTGTGTCTGTGACTGTGTGTGTGTGTGTCTGTGTGTGTGTGTGTCTGTATTAGGGATGTAAATCGGCGACCGTTTAACCAGTGGTTGACCGTCACAGCGTTAACCGGTCAAAGCTGTCGGTTAAAAAAGAGAAAAAGGGGAGAGGGGAGGTCTCTTAATGACGCTATTTTAAGCCCTATTTGCACGGTGTGACGAGCGGGTCTGTATCTAGCTGTGTGCGCCCATGTATAAACTCCGGGACGACTCTCACGCCGCACGAGCCACATATGCACACACGCGCACGCGCACACACGCACGCGCACACACACACACACACACACACACACACACACTTTCCCCCTCTCCATACGTAACATCCACACGCATCATCTCTCCCCTCTGTTACCGTCAAAGTTGCACACTGGCGCGGGTCAGAACTACATTGGAGCTTACATTTACACACACACACACACACATACACACACACACATACATACATACACACACATACATACACACACACACACACATACACACACACATACCGGTCTGTCGCGCTCCTCTGTGTCACGGAGCCCAAAGGATTCGCGCAGATACGCGGCTCCAGTCCAACCACATGGACCATGTTTGTGTTTATGGTCCTCGGGATCAGCTCCACACACATCACTTGTATTTAAACTTTTGTGAAGACCTGTGAGACGCGTCACTCGCTGCTCTGACCATGTGGACGAGCCGTCGTTTGCTGCTAGAAAGTTTTGGTATTAACCCGCAGCACAGCAGAATGGGAAGATTAAAACAGCAGTTCTCTGTGCGCAAAGGTGCTGAAGCTGTTGCGGGTTTTGGTGCCGCTGTCTCGGCTCTGATCCAGTAGAACGCAGAGCTGCACTTATGAAAAGTACGCAGCTCGAAATGGCTGTTATTTCAAAGAACGTGGACTATTTTAAACTACGCGGTTAACCGGTTTCAACAGGTTAATGAGGCTCGGTGGTCGGTCATGAAAATTCATAGTTTTTTACATCCCTAGTCTGTATGTGACTGTGTGTGTGTGTGTGTCTGTGACTGTGTGTCTGTGTGTGTGTCTGTGTGTGTGTGTGTGTGTGTGTGTGTGTGTGTGTCTGTGTGTGTGTGTCTGTGACTGTGTGTGTGTGTGTGTGTGTGTGTGTGTCTGTGTGTGTGTGTGTGTGTCTGTGACTGTGTGTGTGTGTGTGTGTGTGTGTGTGTGTGTGTGTGTGTGTGTGTGTGTGTGTGTGTGTGTGTGTGTGTCTGTGTGTGTGTGTGTGTGTGTCTGTGACTGTGTGTGTGTCTGTGACTGTGTGTGTGTGTGTGTGTCTGTGTGTGTGTCTCTGTGTGTCTGTGTGTGTCTGTGACTGTGTGTGTGTGTGTGTATGTGACTGTGTGTGTGTGTGTGTGTGTGTGTGTGTGTGTCTGTGTGTGTGTGTGTGTGTGTGTGTGTGTGTGTGTGTGTGTGTGTGTGTGTGTGTGTGTGTCTGTGTGTGTGTGTGTGTGTGTGTGTGTGTCTGTGACTGTGTGTCTGTGTGTGTGTGTGTGTGTGTGTGTGTGTGTGTGTGTGTGTGTCTGTGTGTGTGTCTCTGTGACTGTGTGTGTGTGTGCAGTTGGAGAGGATGGAGTGGGCGTCCTGGACCTGTGTTTTGGGCGGAGCCTGTGAGGGAATATGGCCGACGCACAGTAACATCACAGACATCAACGCCGTGTCGCTGACCAGAGACAGAACTCTGCTCGCCACAGGGGACGACTTTGGATTCCTCAAACTGTTCAGCTACCCCAGCCGGGTATGACAACACAAACACACACACACACAGTGACACACACACATCAAAGGGTTAAAGGTGGTCAGTAGCTACCAAAGCAGTTAGGTCAGGACACAGGACTTCAGGACTTGTGTTTGGAGTCCCACAAGGATCCGTGTTGGGACCCAAGTCCTTTCTCCTGTGCACAGTATTAATGACTTGTAGATGGACAAGTTTAGTTCCTTTTTATAATTCTCCTTATCTCAGGCTCCTCACAGCAGCAGCAGAACGCTCCATTGATGTTAATGTAATTTCAAAACGTTCTACCGGTCATTATTTCTTAATAACCGACCTCTCAAAACAATAATGACCGCTGCCCTTTGGCAACGCACTCTGTGTTTGTAATTCAGATGTGTAGATCACTCCGCAAGTTCCGGCCACTTTATCGGAGCTAGCCTAAGAGTGGACTGAAGTTTATTCGCCCTGTTGGTACTTATTTTCTGATAATGACCTGTGCACGATACATTATCCCTTACAAATCTATCTGACCGTCAGCCATGTGTTCATTTTAGAATCTGACTGTGGGCCTCATCCAGCCCTCGGCTCCTTGAGGCGGCTTCAAGGCCTTTTGTAAGAAAAGACAAGTTTATTTGTTCATACACAGCTCAAAGTTCTTGATAGAAACCACTCAGAGCATTTAACTCATAAATAATCACAGCACATTCAAAAGAGTGAACATGAAATTCAGCTTTTTCACCTGGATTTGAACAATGTCAGAGAAGAAGACTGGCTCACATTTTCAGGAAGACTTCCAGATTTTAGCTGTATACATCTGCCATGCTGGCTCCTCATGTTTAGTCCTGACTCAGGGACCAGCAAGAGGCCGGTCCCTGTGCTCCCCAGAGTCCCAGCAGGAGGCCAGTCCCTGTGCTCCTCAGACTCCCAGCAGGAGGCCAGTCCCTGTGCTCCTCAGAGTCCCAGCAGGAGGCCAGTCCCTGTGCTCCTCAGACTCCCAGCAGGAGGCCAGTCCCTGTGCTCCTCAGAGTCCCAGCAGGAGGCCAGTCCCTGTGCTCCTCAGAGTCCCAGCAGGAGGCCAGTCCCTGTGCTCCTCAGAGTCCCAGCAGGAGGCCAGTCCCTGTGCTCCTCAGAGTCCCAGCAGGAGGCCAGTCCCTGTGCTCCTCAGAGTCCCAGCAGGAGGCCAGTCCCTGTGAGTAATAAAGTGATAAATGTGTGTTTCCCCCAGGGCCAGTTCGCTCGCTTCAAGAGGTACGTGGGCCACAGTGCTCAGGTCACTAACGTGCGCTGGGCCCAGGACGACTCGGTCCTGCTCACTGTGGGGGGGGCCGACACCGCCCTCATGATCTGGAGCCGGGAGCGAGGGGGGGGCCTCACAGCAGAGGGAGAGGCCCCTCTGTGCAGGGACCACAGGCCCCTAGTGGACAGCGAGGAGTCGGACGAGGACACAGAGGAGGACGGAGGTCAGAGCACTACATCTGTGTGTAGACCAGAGAGAGACCAGAGAGAGACCAGAGAGAGACCAGAGAGAGACCAGAGAGAGACCAGAGAGAGAGACCAGAGAGAGACCAGAGAGAGACCAGAGAGAGACCAGAGAGAGACCAGAGAGAGACCAGAGAGAGACCAGAGAGAGACCAGAGAGAGACCAGAGAGAGACCAGAGAGAGACCAGAGACAGAGACCAGAGAGAGACCAGAGAGAGACCAGAGAGAGACCAGAGAGAGACCAGAGAGAGACCAGAGAGAGACCAGAGACAGAGACCAGAGAGAGACCAGAGAGAGACCAGAGAGAGACCAGAGAGAGACCAGAGAGAGACCAGAGAGAGACCAGAGAGAGACCAGAGAGAGACCAGAGAGAGACCAGAGACAGAGACCAGAGAGAGACCAGAGAGAGACCAGAGACAGAGACCAGACAGAGACCAGAGAGAGACCAGAGAGAGACCAGAGAGAGACCAGAGAGAGACCAGAGAGAGACCAGAGAGAGACCAGAGAGAGACCAGAGAGAGACCAGAGCGAGACCAGAGAGAGACCAGAGAGAGAGACCAGAGAGAGAGACCAGAGAGAGACCAGAGAGAGACCAAAGAGAGACCAGATAGAGAGACCAGAGAGAGACCAGAGAGAGACCAAAGAGAGACCAGAGAGAGAGACCAGAGAGAGACCAAAGAGAGACCAGAGAGAGACCAGAGAGAGACCAGAGAGAGACCAGAGAGAGACCAGAGAGAGACCAGAGAGAGACCAGAGAGAGACCAGAGACAGAGACCAGAGAGAGACCAGAGAGAGACCAGAGAGAGACCAGAGACAGAGACCAGAGAGAGACCAGAGAGAGACCAGAGAGAGACCAGAGAGAGACCAGAGAGAGACCAGAGAGAGACCAGAGAGAGACCAGAGACAGAGACCAGAGAGAGACCAGAGAGAGGCCAGAGACAGAGACCAGACAGAGACCAGAGAGAGACCAGAGAGAGACCAGAGAGAGACCAGAGAGAGACCAGAGAGAGACCAGAGAGAGACCAGAGAGAGACCAGAGAGAGACCAGAGAGAGACCAGAGAGAGACCAGAGAGAGAGACCAGAGAGAGAGACCAGAGAGAGAGACCAGAGAGAGACCAGAGAGAGACCAGAGAGAGACCAAAGAGAGACCAGATAGAGAGACCAGAGAGAGACCAGAGAGAGACCAGAGAGAGACCAGAGAGAGACCAAAGAGAGACCAGAG